CTCAGTGGTGGGGAAACCTGCGCGGTCTTGCCGCGCCCACTTCTCCTTTGCTTAGACGGTTTCTGCCTCCGCTGAGGTGGTTCTCACGTGTGCCAGCAATGCTCACATCTTCCCGATGGGTCCAGCTCTTACCGTCACAATTCTATAGGTTTTCACTATAGAGCGTCCTCTGTACTTGTAGGTGCACTCGGTTTTAAATTCAGTCTTCTCTGATATTCGGTAACACTCCGCTTTCCTATGGGTCTGCTGACCGATGCAATGCCTGCCTTCTGACCAACTGGTCCACCCACTCATGTTAATCTGTGAGTGCCCTTGCGTTACAACTGCCATTTGCTATTTGTTTTTCACGTCTTACGGAGTTTTGGTTCCTGTCTTCTCTTTACTGTTTCCTTTTGCATTAAGTGATTGTTTTCCAATGTCATTTTGGTTCCTTTTGTGAACCCCAAATATCTGAGGCAGGTCTCAGTTAATTTAGAAAGTTTATTTTTTGCCAAGGTTGCGGGCATGCGCCAGTAACACAGCCTCAGGAAATCCTGACGACCTGTGTCCAAGGTGGTCGGGACATAGCTTGGTTTTATTCATTTTTGGGAGATATGAAACATCAATCAACATATGTAAGAAAAACACTGGTTCCGTCCAGAAAGGTGGGGCAGCTGGAAGTGGGGAGGAGGCTTCCAGGTCACAGGTAGACAAAAGACAAACAGCTGCATTCTTGTGAGTTTCTGATCAACCTTTCCAAAGGAGGCCATCAGATCTGCATCCGTCTCAGGGAGCAGGGGTGACTCTGGAGGGAATGGGAGGCAGGCTGGCCCTCACAGTTCCCCAGTTCAACTCTTCCTGTTAGCTGAGTGATGCTGGGGCCCAAGGGTTATTCTCCTTTCATACTTTCATGGTCTGTTTCTCGACGTATTTTGAGTTATTTCGTTAGTGGCTATTCTTGGGTTCAGCATATATCTATCTCCTGCCATCAGAATCAATTGTGGGTTCAATGCTGCCTAATTCCAGTTAGACATGGAAAAGTGGCTGCTGCGCAGCTCTGCCCCTTTCCCGCTTTGTGCTTCATTGCTACAATACCACACCCACGTGTGCCACAAACCCAGTAATACGCTGTTGTAACTACTCATTTGCAGAAGGAGGGAGAGCAAGTGTGCACTCAGAGCATGGTCCTGGTTCTCTTCACCTCTTCCTGTAATTCCACTCAGAGTGTGGTAAGAGCAACCTCTTTGCTCCACACTCCGGGCTCTCTTCGCCTCTTCCTGTAAATTCCACTCAGAGCATTGCTAGATGGACCTTCCTCCTCCGCACACAGGGTTCTCTTTGCCCCTTCCTGTAAATTCAAGTCACCACCTGTTGTCATTTCGCTCCCCAGTCCCTTCCTCTGTGCTGCTACTGGCAAGCATTACACTCCCGCATGTCATGGGCCCAACAATACAAAGAGTTTTTGTTTTTATTTTTATTTTTTGAGACAGGGTCTTGCTCTGTGGCCCAGCCTGGAGTGCAGAGGCATGATCCTGGCTCACTGCAACCTCTGCTTTCTAGACTCTAGTGATTCTTGTGCCTCAGCCTCCCGAGCAGCTGAAATTACAGGAATGCATGACCACGCCTGGCTAATTTTTATATTTTTTAGTAGTGACAGGGTTTCACCATGTTGGACAGGCTGGTCTTGAACTCCTGACCTAAAGTGATCCACCTGCCTTGGCCTCCCAAAGTGCTGGGATTACAGGCGCCAGCCACCAGACACCTGGCCATAGAGTTTTATAATATAAAACTGTATCACTTTTTAAACCAAGAGAGAAAAAGAGAAGCGACATGCTGCCTTACAGAGTTAAATCACCATTTCTGGTGCTCTGCTCGTTTGTGTGGACTCAAGATTTTCATCTGGGTCACCTGCTTTCAGCCTGAAGAGCTTCTTTTAGAACTTCTTTTAAGGAGGGTCTGCTAGTGAATTCCCACTTTCTGTCTGTCTGGGAAAGCCCAGCCTTTGTTTGTGAAGGGCTATTTTGCTGGACAGGGCCTGGGTATGGTCACGCTGTCTGAGAAGAAGTGGCTGCGGCCTCAGGACGGGCTCTGTGGAGGCCTCACACTTCCTCTGCTGCCCCAGGCCTGTCTAAGCATTTCCACTTCCACTGTGGAAGGGCCTTTGTGCTCCTCCTACGGGGAGTTTGCTGAGCTTCTGGGATGAATAAATTCATGTTTTCCATTAAATTTGGGGAGTTTTCAGTCATTATGTCTTTGAATAGTTTTTCTGCTCCTCGCTCTCCTAAAGAACATCCTGCTTGGTTACCCCAGATTAAAAACAACTTTGATGTGTGTTTCTGGGGAGAACTGTTCACTGTTGTCTGTCTGTGAGAGCAGGAAACTCATGCAACCCTCCCAAATGGACAAGAGGAGCCAGACCTCAGAGGAGCCTCGCCGGCCGTCCCGTGTCTCCACGATGGCTGACCACGCGCCCCCATGGAGAGGAGCTGAGTGTTGGATCTGGGCACTCGTGTCAGGAAACGAAGGCTTTAAAACGTGGTGCTGTTTTCCTTTCCTGTTTATCACTGTACCAGATGGGACAGAAACAGCGCCAGGACTAAAATCTCTGAGTACTCAGGGAACCGTCTTCGGCTGTTGTCTCTGTCAACAGATCATGGGAATGACCGGCTCATCCTCTTGCTGCCAACATAACAGCTCCCAGCAATGCTATGCTATGTTTCTTGGCAGTTAACTCAATGTCGTTTTCACTTCTCCACGAACTCTAGGAATAATCTGAAGAGGCTATGGCGTATTTTAAAGTTGCCTTCTGTGAGCAATGACTCACCTCCTACCACCGAAAGAATAAAAGGATAGGCTCAGGGGCAGATCACCCAATAGGGGAGACATCACCCCGCCACAGGCTCAGGGACAGATCCTACACAGGAGAACTCGCCTAACCTGGGCGCCTGTTCTTTTCAGTACCTGGAATGGTGGTGAGATGATGTGTCTGGAAGATCCTTGGACATTCCGAAGACGTCTTGTTTGGTTTTTTATCTTAAGGATTTACTTTAAGGAGTAAAAGCGCTCGGCAGGAGGCTACATATATAGCAGGCATCTGATGTTTGTTGATTTCAGAGAAGAATGAATCACTTCTTGGTAGACAAGTAAAAAACACAACCTTCTCCCTTCTGTTAAAACTTGTTTTCAAGTTCAAGTGACATTAAGATTCTACAGAACAGCTTGGCCAAGTGAAATCAGCAAGATGTGCTGCCAACCAGAGCACTGATGGGAAAAAGCGGAGCCAGCTTCCGCACAAAATGCGTCGCCATACACGGGAAAGAATCAGGATGAAGCTGAATGTTTGACATGCAAAAATAAACCCAAAACTCAAACCATATTTTACTTAATTACAAGCAAAAATGTTATGTGAAAAATTTCAAGACATTCGCATGTCTCACTGAATACCCCATAAACAGGAATGAAATAACTGGAGTTCCCTGATCTTTAAAGAAGGCATGAGGCCCCCAAAGCCCAAAGTCACAAAAATGTGACAGGAAGCCAAACAGACCCCACTCCCAGCTGACGGGAAGCCGCGCGGACCCCACTCCCAGCTGACGGGAAGCCGTGGAGACCCCACTCCCTGCTGACAGGAAGCCGCGCGGACCCCACTCCCAGCTGACGGGAAGCCGTGCGGACCCCACTCCCTGCTGATAGGAATCCAAACAGACCCCACTCCCAGTTGACAGGAGGCCGCGCAGACGCCACTGTCCCACCCCTTCTAGGGGCATGCACGTCCCAGCAGTCAGGCTGCTATGGCAATTCACGAAGGCTGGAGTGGCACAGGCGGGGGTCAGGCGCCCAGAGTCCCACCCATCCCGGTGGCAAGGATGAAGGCTGTTTGGCGGGATTGGAATAGACTCTTGGGATGCTTTATTCTTCTGATATCAAATTCTAAAGTCTTCCAAGTCCACTAAGTCCGTAAGACATAAAGAGAAACAGTGATGACAGTGACGATTCCCGTCCCTGCCGGAGGAGCCAGAATGCAGAGGTCCAGCCCTGACCGCCTCCTGCAGCTGGGAGACCAGCGCTGAAGCCACGACCAAGCAGAGGGGCTCTCTCACCTCATCTGCATTGCTTCACCATTGTTTCACCAGTTCTGCCGTGGGCAGGTCATTTAGCAAAAAAAGAGAAAAGACCCAGGGGTGCTAACTCCCGCCCTGGCCCCCAAGTCCTCCACAGGTCTGGGCCCCGACCTGCTGAGCGCCTCAACCAGGTGCCCACAAGGGGAGACACAGCAACACCCTGACTGGTCTTAGTAGAGAAACACTTTGGGTTTCTTCTTTTAATTAGAAAAAACTATCATGTTAAAACCACATATGTTCACACCCAGAGCACGCTGCAAATCTGCAGAAACTAACATGGCCACAGCAGACTCTTTGGAGCCTGCTCAGCCCAACCTTGGCCGAGAGGGGAGGGCAGGAGAACCGTCTCAGAGGTCCCCAACGTGCTGCCCTTCCCAGACTTGACCCCAGAGCTTCAGGACAGGCCCAATAGGTCTATACTGAGAAGTGAAGAAAGGCACGGCCAGGCAGAACCACCCCAAAATTCATGTGGAAAAACCAAGGCCCAACATGGAATTTCAAAATTTCTCCCAAAACAATTTCATGTCATCTCAACACAGCTGGGAAATGCTGCTTCCTACACGGCAAACACAGAGTGGCTGCCTGAGAGAAACTGCACACATTTCCCTGCTAAACCAGAGTTGCAAATCAAGTGATTTTCTCTAAGTAATTCTTGCAAACGGAACAATATTATCCTGTCCTGTCTGCATTTGTTGCTGGAATTTCTGGCCCAATTTTACAACTGGTTTCCCTGAATGAGTTACACTCTTTTCTTGAAATGTTTATTCACCCACAGAATAGCCTAAGAGTAAGACCAGATGGGGAGAACTGCTTCCGCGGATAAAAGCAGTCCCACCGTTTTCTTTACCCACAGACAGTGCACATGTACCTGGAGTACTGCCGTGGGCGCTCCCCACTCACCTGCTGAAGCTGGGAGCAGCCTCTCCGAGGCTGGCACTGCTTCTACTCCATTTCACCTGTGAGCGCACAGGCAGACCTCACACACAACTGTGTGCACACGTGCAGACCATACATGCGCCTGTGCGCACACATGGAGACCCCACACACACACCTGTGTGCACATGTACAGACCACAAACATGCCTGTACGCACACAGAGAAGATACACGCCTGTGCGCACACATGGAGACCCCACACACACACCTGTGTGTACACGTATAGATGACAAACATGCCTGTGTGCAGAGATGATACACGCCTGTGCGCACACATGGAGACCCCACACACACCTGTGTGTACATGTACAGACCACAAACATGCCTGTGTGCACACAGAGATGATACACGCCTGTGCGCACACATGGAGACCCCACACACACACCTGTGTGTACACGTATAGATGACAAACATGCCTGTGCGCACACAGAGATGATACACGCCTGTGCGCACACATGGAGACCCCCACACACGCCAGTGTGCACATGTACAGACCACAAACATGCCTGTGTGCACACAGAGATGATACACGCCTGTGCGCACACATGGAGACCCCACACACACACCTGTGCGTACACGTATAGATGACAAACATGCCTGTGCGCACACATGGAGACCCCCACACACGCCAGTGTGCACATGTACAGACCACAAACATGCCTGTACGCACACAGAGATGATACACGCCTGTGCGCACACATGGAGACCCCACACACACACCTGTGCGTACACGTATAGATGACAAACATGCCTGTGCGCACACATGGAGACCCCCACACACGCCAGTGTGCACATGTACAGACCACAAACATGCCTGTGTGCACACAGAGATGATACACGCCTGTGCGCACACATGGAGACCCCACACACACACCTGTGCGTACACGTATAGATGACAAACATGCCTGTGCGCACACATGGAGACCCCCACACACGCCAGTGTGCACATGTACAGACCACAAACGTCTGTACGCACACATGGAGACCTCACATGCCTGTATGCACACACACGGAGACCACACACATGCTTATGCACACACATGCCTATGTGCACACACGGAGAACATACACACGTCTGTGCGCACACGTACAGATCTCACACACGCCTGTGCACACACATGGAGACCCCACACACGTCTGCGCACACACACAGACCTCACATGCCTGTGAGCACACATGGAGACCACACGCCTGTGCGCACACATGGAGACCCCACACACCTGTGTGCACACATGGAGACCATACACACGTCTGCGCACACACACAGACCTCACATGCCTGTGAGCACACATGGAGACCACACGCCTGTGCGCACACATGGAGACCACACACGCCTGTGTGAACACATACAGACCTCACACACGCCTGTATGCACACATGGAGATCACATGTGCATGTACACATACAGACCTCACACCTGTGCGCACATGTGCAGACCCCACACGCCTGTGTGCATACATGGAGACCATACACACGTCTGTGTGCAGACATACAGATCTCACACACGCCTGTGTGCACACATGGAGACCACACACATGCCTGTGCATGCACACGTACAGAACTCACCTGTGCACACACACGGAGACCCCACACACGCCTGTGCGCATGTACAGACCTCACACACATCTGTGTGAACACACGGAGACCCCACACGCCTGTGCGCATACACCTCATACACGCCTGTGCGCACACATACAGACCTCACACACACCTGTCCGAACACACGGAGACCCCACACACGCCTGTGCGCACACACGGAGACCCCACATGCCTGTGCGCATACACCACTTCATACACGCCTGTGCGCACACATACAGACCTCACACACACCTGTCCGAACACACGGAGACCCCACACATGCCTGTGCGCACACACGGAGACCCCACATGTCTGTGCTCACACGTGGAGACCTCACACACGCCTGTGTGCACATACAGACCTCACACACCTGTGCACACGTGCAGACCCCACACATGCCTATGTGCACACGTACAGACCTCACACACACCGAGACCACACACGCCTGCACACACGTGGAGACCCCATACACGCCTGTGCACACATGTGCAGACCACACACACGCCTGTGCACACATGTAATATGACATGGATTCAACATGGAGGCATCCAAGTGTCCACCACCAGGGGCTGCTGAATCGAAGCCGCTGCTGTCAAGACATAGAACAGGGGAGGGCATGAAGAACAAGACACAGGCGGCCCACCAAAAGCAGGGTCACCTTCAACCTCAGAGCCCAAAACTCACCTGGGCCCCCGGCCACCTGCCATGCTCCTCTCGCTGGACGCTGAGGCCCCGAGGGTCTGCTCCCTGCGGGCCTCAGGCTTCCGGGGCTGGAGCTCCTCCTCCTGCTCCTCTGGCCTCCTCTTCTCGCTGTCGCTGTCATCGCTGCCTTCTCCAAGGATGTCGTCCACCTGACAAACAGCCAAGAGTCAGCCACAGACCTTCCTGGGCCCCATCCCCAACAACAGGCCTTCTCCCGTCGTGTCCAGGGCTCTGGATGCAGTGGGGTGGCGGCTAGAGGTGGGACTCTGCTTCCTGCCTGAGCTCTGGGGTTTGAAACTCACCAATTCTTAAAACAAAGCCTCAGGTGAAAGACTCTTGGAAATCCATGGAGCAAGCCCAGTTGCTTCACAGGCAGGCTGGGTTTACATTCATTCTGTGCCTTACATGAACAGGGGCTTTATTCCTAGCCCCTGTTGGATTTTACGGTGAATAACCAGAATATTTGCTTGAAATTCTCTCATTGAGATCCACAGCATGACTCCCGAGTGACAGGGCTTTCTGGGAGGCGGCCTGGTCTTTCCCATCCTGGAATTTGGGTGGAGATGTGGCCACGCCGTAGGGACACTCGCTAAGAAGCCTGCTCGCTCGCTCTAGGCATGCCTCCAATTTGGAACACGTTCAGGGAGGGTGACTCCTGAACACCTTGGGTGAGCACCGGCCAGCCCCTGCCTGACACGTGGTGCGATGGGAGCTCGAACAGAGGCGGAAGGTGTGCGGTGGGCGGGTGAGCGAGCAGGTGAGCCGTGTGCCACATCTGAACCTCAGCCTCCTGGAACCTCAGCACGCAGGAAGTGAGTGCCATCGGCGCCTTGCTGTGGCAGCAAAAGAGGCTGAGCCCAGTGCCAGGGAGGCGAATCTGCTCTCCTGAATTGAGCGGAGATGGGAGGATGTGCAGAAAGAATCTGCACACAGCAGCCAGGGGCCTCTTGGCCGCCGCCAGCAGAGAGAAGACGGCTTTATGTCCAGCAGGGATCATGACGGAGGGGTGCTGGCGGGCAGCTCTGCTCACAGCTCTCCTATGTTGAGGGTGTCTGTGTGCGATGGCACAGCCATGTGGTCCCCAAGACAGGCGGTCTGTCCCCTGCCCCCCAGCGCAGGCTGCTTCCCAGGAGGGGTCTGGACGTGCCCACCTGACTGGGGCCCAAGGGATGCCACATGGGGCCCTGAGGGGCGCTGAGTGACACAGATGTGACCTCACCCCTGCAGCAGGCCATGACAAACGGCCACGGAGCACAACTCCTGAGACAGGCGCAGCTCAGAGTAGTCGAGGCCCTGAGGTCAGTTACAGAGGCTTGGAAATCATGGCTCACCCCCTGCCCCGAGTTCACATGGATGCCGCCTTGTCCGCCTCACCCAGTCTGCAATTTCAAACTCAGCACCAACGCGTCCAGTGAGTCACAGCACATGTACCCTGGCCGAAATTATTAAAAGGCAGAAACATCTTAACCAATGGTTAATTAGCTAAGGCAGCGACTTTATCATCAGGTCATTATAATGATCTGTGAAAGTGACATGTTACCAGGGACACTGGCATTAAAGGTATTTAATAAGAGCAGTTGGTTAATCCAAGACGTTACTGATGTTTGCGCTTTACCAGAATGTTACATCACTGTATTTACTGTTCTGATGGCGAGCCTCCTATGGGAATCATTCCGCTAAATTCTATTCTGAAAATACGCACGGCCTTTAACACGGCACCATGCTTTAGTCGAGAGAGAGAGCAAAGGCATCACTAAAATCTGTTATTTTATACTTGACAGCCAAGGGCAGGCAGGCTGGCCAGCGTGGCAACCCAGGGACCCCACACGGCCCTTGCTGGCGCGGCGCCCCACCTGGGAGGGCCAACACTGGCGAGGCAGGGCGGCCGGCACGTGTCCGCTGGCTGCTCTCTGGAAGACCCTGAGGTACACTTTGCAGAGCCAAGCCAGAAGCGTAGACACGCATCAAACCTGACTTCCCCTGACTGCTCCCATCCCCTTCCCTGTCTGCCTGACTCACGTCGGTGTGGCAACGACACCTATCTTTCCTGCACTGGCTTTTAGAAAAAAGATGACTTTGAAAAAAAGTTTTCTGCACTACAGAGGCTCCTAGGCTCAAGATGGGGTCACGTCCAGGTGAGCCCAGCACAGGCTGAAAACAGTTAGCACACGTGGCCCAGCCGCCTTCCACACTAAGACCCCCGACATTGGCCCACCGCTGGCGAATCACCTCGCACGAGGCCAACTCAGAAACAGCTTTCCACAGAATGCGGAGTCAAGATTCCAAATTCGAAGCGTGGTTTCTCCCAAACGCCCATCACCTGCACATCGTTGTAAAGTTAGAAAACCATTAAGCTGAACCGTTATAAGTTGAGGATTGTTTGTATTTACTTAAAAGATACCAAAATATATATTTTTTAATCTTAAGGAAAATTTAGAATTCTATAAAAAGAAAAACACAAATGAATTCATACGTAAGTGTTGGAATTTCTACCAAAGTGCAAATACAGATAATACCAGATGCTACGATATCCTGTCAATGCACAGAAATTAAATGTTTCTATCAACCTCCTTCCATGACCCCAGATCACTAATAACAACACTGAACCCAGCTCCGCCCTGGAGTGAGGTGGGACGGCTGTGGGAGAGAGGACGGAAACCAGCAGGGACACAGAGCAAGGCCGGGAAAGCTCCCTGAGCATGACAGGCAGAGCAGCAAGAGCGAGGAAAAGCAGCTGAAGAGGCAGCTGTGCTGGCTTTCTGCGGGGTGTGCAGGGGACTGGCCCCGCCACAAGGCTCCAGTGACCTCAGAGCCCTGGTTCCAGCACCTTCCCTTCCCTGAAGTTCCATGATCACACAAGAACCTGCCGAGAGGCTAACACACATGGCTGTGGGGTCTCTTTCTGAGCTGGCTGAGACAAAGGCGGATGTTTGTGGAGAAACACACAGGCTTCAGCAAATTACGAGACACGGCACGTCCTGTAAAAAGGCCACCACGGCACCCTAAGAAGCTCTAGTCTCAAGGAACAAACCTCTATTAACCGTAAATCCTACTGCCTGACATCAACGGACTTCTCTTCCGTCCAAAAGGACAAACATCCCAGGCCTCCTCTCAGATGTGCTATATTCTCTGCCAACAGAACTAAAAGCACTTAGAGACCATTAAAGTTAACTTTCTTCAACAGCATTTTCCAGAGATGGCGAACAAAGAGAACAGAAGGCAACGCTGCCCAGAGCTGCCCAGAGCTGCCCAGAGCTGTCCAGGGCCGTGTGGCCGACCACGGTTCCTGCAGGTCTCCAAACCCAGGGCAGATACTCGACCCGAGTGGCAGGGAAATGCCTGTGCCTGGTGTGGGGCCTGGCGCACTTTCCACGAAGAGCATCGCTGGAACAGCTCATGATGGACACCTGGGTGAAGCCCGAGCTCCCAATGCCGTAAGCACAGGAGGGGCCTGTGGCCTCCCAGCAACCCACAGGGCCCAGCACAGCTGGGGACGCTGCTCTTGGGAAGAGGTCCCGCCACATGGCTTCGGCTATGCCAACTGCAGGGAAGGTCTCCTGCAGGCTGCCTCTGGGAGATGAGGACCTGGGTGCAGGAACACAGTCTGCAATCCGAGCACTGGAGGATGACCCTGAGCTCTGAGAGCAGCAGGAAGGACGGCCCCGGGCACGGCCTGAACCCTGAGTCCCAGTGGTGGAGATGAGAGAAGCAGGGGTGGCTTTGAGGGAGACATGCGGTGATTTGTAATGAAGCAGAGAACTCACAGAGAAAAACTGTAATACGGAATACCTTTTCAAGTGAATTAATACCAACTGGAAAGATGTTTTAATCAACAGAAGACTTTAACTAAAGAGGAACTTTAATGACATGTAAAAAAAACCCCAAAGCTTGGAAAACAAGGCATTCAGAACTTGCCAAGCTTCAGTGGCGGGACCCAGAGCCCTTCACTAGAGACGTGGCTGTAGCCAGCACATGTTCCAAAATGACTTATGCAAATTAAATACTCCAAACCCCACAGAGAAAGCTTTTCTACTTAGAGAAATATTGTGACAAGTCTTTTATAAAACAAAAGATAACTTCTTATCCATTCAATTACACCTACAGTGAGACTTTAATTCACGAACACTTCAGGAAACGTAACTTTCAGGCAGGAAGTAGAGCCCGGAGAGAGAAGCATTCTTTCTAAAGCTACCAACTTCATGAAAGAAAAGTCTAATCCCAGTCTACACACCTGAAGTTCTGACCACGTGAAGAATGATCTACTGATCTAATCTTTAGACATGGTAAGTTTTTTCCCCATTAATTATCATCAACAACTTCTACTGATTGGATAATACAATGTAAAAACTAACTCATTCTTAAAGGATGTTGGTTAATCAGAAAATTTTAAAAGATCAAGTCACAATTTGGTTAAAAACCACAAAGCAGACATAACGGGAAAAATTACTGCTGTTCGGCGACAGGAGAGTTCCCACACATCACTGAGTCATGTGTATTGTGTGTAGTTTATGATCTGTCTACTGCACACAGCCATGGAGGGATCTGGCTCTTTAGTTTCCTGGAATCTAATCCACCATTAATTCTGCAGTCTGTCATTACTTTGGGAGAAGGCCTACCATGGTAGCAGGTGCCTAGAGCTTTCTGAACAAATGTCCAATTCAATAAGAGCAGTTTCACTAACATGTTAGGCTCCAAGACGCCACAGGTATTAGGAGTGGAGTCACAGAAACGGTCTCAGAAGCACAGCAAGAGAAGGACTGGCATCTCAAGGGCCTCCGCACAGCACGAGAAGTTTTAACATTCGTGTCATGGATTCCTGAAAAGGAGGAGAAAAAGACTGGCTTCGAAAAAATACTTAAAGACATCATGGCTGAAAACTCCACAAGTTGGCTTAAAAACGTGCATTGCTGCATCCATGTGCAGAGACGAGTGTGGTGGCCGTCTGCGTTCCTTGTTTGTGTCCACCATCTTTTGCTTCCTTACTCCAGGGGTGGGAGGGATCAGAGCAGATCTGTGGAAAGGCAGCAGCTGAGCGGGGCCTTGAAGGACGGGTGGGAGGTGCTTCGGGCGTCAGAGAGGAGCGCAGAGCCCCACGCTAGGATGACGGGTGCCAACTTCAGGGAAACAGTTTGGACGCTACGCAAGAGCTCACTCCAGGCTAGAAGGTACTGAGACTGTAAGTCCAGGCACATGTCGTGCATATTTTATGAGCATTAAGTATCTGTGAAGTTTTAACTTTTTGAGACAGCTCGAAACTCTTCACACATGTTGCCTTGTTCAACCTGTTTCTGGGTTCCACTGACGTGCCAGAAACGACTGGAGGTCTCAACACCCCTCACTCAATGGCCCCCCCATAGTCTGCATCCTGGTTCCGGATCCCCTCAACTCCCCATCGTCTGCATCCTGAAAAAAGCAGCAGCCCCTGCCCTGTGTGTCCCCAGGATGAATGGGGGCCACGGCAGCCTCCAGGGAATGCCACGTGGCAGGCACCCGGTCCATCTCGCGGGCCCATGGCGGGTGCAGGCAGCAAGCCCGAGACAGGCATGTCTGAGGTGCAGCTGCCTCATCTGCACCAGCACAGGAGTATAAAGGGGACAGGCGTGAGACGAGGCTGTCGTGCCAGGGCTGGGACACAAGGAGATTCCTGAGGCTGCTGTAATAACCACGCGTCATGGCTCAAATGATCCAAATTCACGACTTCACAGCTGTGCAGGTCAGAAGTTCCACGGGAGTCTCACAGGACCAAAATCCAGGTGTCCATGGGGAGAGTCCCTTCCTCGAATTTTCCAGCTTCCAGAGCCCCGTGTCCTCAGCTCTGGGCCTCCTCTGACCCCTCTCTTGCATCCCTCCTCCCTCCTCCAAGGAGGATTCTGTGATCTCAGTGGTCACCAGAACTTTCCAGTACCATCTCTTCTAAAAGTCCCGAATTTCATCTCTCGTGCAAAGTTATTTGGCACCAAGGCAGCGTTGACTGGTCCCGGGAGAAGGAGATGCCTTCAGGGGCCACTGCTCGCCTACCACCATCTCTAACTTGTCTTCCAGCCAATGAGGAGTGACAGGTGGCTCCGAGCCAAGGACAGTGCCAAGCACTGTGCTTAGAAGGCCCAGTGTCAGCACCTGCCCTCTGGGACACACTGCCGGGGGCTGGGGCTAGGAGTGGGTAGGGATGAGAGCAAGGGGTATGGGGCAGTGCTCTGGCCCCTGTGGTGAGGGAGGAGCCGCACAGGGAGGGACGGCTAACCTCCAAGTCCCCTCTTTCCTCCCTGAGCAAATGGGATGGGACCTGGGCAGCTGTGGGAGCTCACAACAGCAAGGACCAAAAGAGCCCCATGGTCAGGGCAGCTCACGGCAGGCAGTGTGGGCAGCACACTGCAAGCCTGGCTCTTGCTGACGGTGGGAGCAACTCCCTGCAAGCTTTGGTAGAAACTTGAAGGAATCCTCCCTGCTGCACATTCAAGACTATCCTGGAAAGTGGGTGGGAGCATCCCGGCAGCTGCCTGGACCCTGTGCTGGGAAACCCACAGTGTGCTGTGCCCCATGAAGTAAAATTTTTGGAATATTTCAAACACAGAAGTAACAGCAAGCACCCAGGAAGCCTGTTTTCCACTTGCCTGCTGGAGGAAACCTAGATAAAGAATCCATCTGGGTCAGTCTAGTGCTAAAAAAATTTATAAACACAGGACACATTTCATGGAGGCTGGGGAGGGGCCGGAGTAGAAATCAAATACTTTTGCTCCTCTGAAACTTGAGACGTATTTACTTAAAGGAGAAAATATTAAAACGGTTAGAATGCATTAACATTAAAATATAAAGTCACCATCTGATAGAAAAGAAAGACTAAAATTTCTTTTCCTAAAGTAGAGCCCTTCTAGCCTTTCAAATGCCTCAAGTGACAAAAGGCAGGTACTGTGGGTATGCGTGTATGTATATATGTATGTGTTCTCTCTGGGGAGAGGGAGTAAGAAGGCTCCATATTTTTTTAGGCTGTGTGCCATGGGTTAAACAGGCACCCCTGGTCTTGTGCACGTGCCCGCATGTCCACACACAGCACAGGGAGTCAGGTGAGACAAGGCCACTTGGACTGGGTGGGCCTCGGCAAAGAGCTAGGGACGAAGGCACGGGGGGATGCAGGCATGGGGGACACAGAGGCTGGAAAGAGGTGCCACAGCACTGCTCACCAATGTGCACCTGCAGGACACACCACGGCTCCATTCTTGGAGGTCCCAGGGTTCCCAGGATGTGTGCAGGTGCCGCAAACCCCTACATCATGATGCTGGGACACTGCTCACCTCTTCTCCACAGTCACCTCTGTAAGGCAGGATGCGTACTCGGTGTCTCCTGCACTGCCTCGCAGCCCCCACTGCAGCCCCCAGGAAGGAGCGGAGGGTCCCGGCTGTCAGTGCTCCAACAGCAGGCGCTGTCTTGTGGGCCCGGGACTCATGGAGAATCCCACAGGGGAGGGCTGCTTCTCCTGTGGACCCGGGACTCACGGAGAATCAAGCAGGCTTTAACTATTCACGAATGTGAAACCCTCTGTCCTCTCTCCCATGCACAGAGCAATCCACGGCTGCAGACTTTCACTTCCGATACCATTTGTTCCTGAAGGGCCACACCTGGGGCTGAAGGTCACTTTTTATTTCTGAGAGAATTAGGTTTTTGGGTGGGGGAAAGCTGCTGACTGCATTGAAGACTTCTGTCTCCCACTGAGATTTCAACCCCCTTTGATGTCAAATGAATAAGAACCAAGGTTGTCACCGCTACCTGACAAATGGGACTGCGTGGGGAACAGACCCAGAGTCCTCCACACCTGACCAGGAAAGCAAGAGGAAGATGTGACGTGTCGGCGGCTTCCAGGCAGGAAGAGGCCAGCGTCCACTCCCTCCTCTCCTCCAGCCTCTGCTCCTAGTCAGGTGGTGATTCCTTATATGGAAACCTGGCGTCTCAAATAAACTGGTCTGGGCTTACGAGTAGTGGCTGACGAAAATTTAAGAGAAAACATCTTCATGAAGAAAAAACCAAAAAACCCCATGTTTAAAATGGCAGAAAAATGGCAGAGAAATCAGCACACCTGAAAAATGGGTTTGATCCTCACAAAATACACTGGGGTCTAAAGGTGATGACCTGAATTACTGACGTGATTCTGTCCTAAATACAACCATCTGCATTTTTCTGCTCCTGCTAAAAATAAACAGGAGCTATTTTCCTCCTCAAGAAACCTCTACCTTCTCAATGCAAACAGAACAGCAGCTCTCTCCACAGGACCGCGATGCCACGTGGGCACAGAGGAGGGGCTCTGGAGAAAAAGACCTCGGAAGGGGGTGGCCTGCGCCCCGACCAGCTGCGGGAGACCCACACGGGAGCCCTGACAGGCTGCAGGAGACCTACACAGGTACCCTGACCAGCTGTGGGTGAGACCCACAGGGGAGCCCCACACGGGCACCCTGATCGGCTGCGGGTGAGACCCGCATAGGCGCCACCCATGAAGGTACCTTCCAGGAGGGCACAGGATGCGTTTTTCCACCAGGGTCCTTCTAAAGAACAGTCTCTGAAGGACCATGCTATGCAGACTGCCCGCCTGTAGCACCCCGACAGGTGTGGAACCTTCTATCAAGAGGGTGGCCTGGGACCCACGAGAAGCAGCACACGGGCCAAGGGGCCCAGGACGCAGGAGCCAAACATGACCTGGCTGAGCAAACCTCAACTTCACCAATGCTGCCTAAAGCTCTTTAGTGCCAGGATAATGAGATCCTGGGAGCATCACAGTCACACGAGGTGCCGTGAGAGTCACAGTCACATGAGATGTGTGAGAATCAGTCACACGAGACGCTGTGAGAATCAGTCACACTGTGTGCATGTGTTCAACGCCCATATGCAATGGAAGCACAGCTGCCCAGGGTTTCTCAACAGGGGCCTGTCAGTGTCGGGCGGGGGGTGCTGACCAGCACCAGTATCACCCCTGGTCACGACCACGTGTGCCTCCAGACGCTGTCCTACGTCCTTGGGGAGGGCCAGGAGAGCAGGAGGGCCGGGCAGCATTGGCCCTGGTGGGGACGCAGGCGAATCCTAAACCACGCCCGTCATGCTCTCATGCCACATGCTGCTGGTAACATTGCTTATGCTGTTCTAGGTCTCCTTGAATAGGAAGTTCCACGAAAAACACAAGTGATAGTCCCCAACCAGAGCCGACTGTGCGACTGCAGAATTCTAGCTCCGCCTCCACGTGCGCAGCTCAGCGATCCGCCCGCTCACCGCTGCTCTGTGGCCCCAGCACAAGCCCCGGTGTTTGGCTCACCTCTTTGTCCATACTCTCTAAATCCTCCTTACAAAGAGTGTACAGCGGCATTGTCTCAGACATACTGGGCTGTCGCTTTCTTCTAGAAGGGCCAGGCTGCTCTCCGTCCTGAGCATCAGGCAGCTCTTCATCAAACATCTGCGGCTGAGGTGGCGGGACCGCTCTGAAAGGAATTTTATAGGCCCCACATGAGGAAAGTCAGCTTGAATTGCACCTTTCAGAACTGAATCAGATTCCTGACTCTCGGACTAGATAAACATTCACACACCCAACAGGGAATACTCATAAAACATATGATACTTCGCCAATACGCTTTTCAGAGTTTAACAGATCAGACTTTGCCAATTCAGCCCAGGTTGAGTGGCAAAATACGTTTGTGACTATCCTGTCGAAAAATAGCATACACCTTATCAACAAAATCCCCATGGTGCAGACACCTGCCGGGCTCTAGCATCTTAGAAGAAAGGGGAAAATGGGACGGGAGATGAACAGCGTTCTGGGAACCACCAGGACATGTCATTCACCCTCAAAACAGGGTCTGGAGAGCAACATCTCCAGGCTAGGAAAAGACAAAGAATGGTAACGTGACAAAACAATGCCAGTGACTGAGATTAAAATCATTTCACCGGTTGGTGTGGAGGGTCACACTTGTGATCCGGCACTGTGGGAGGCTGAGGCAGGCAGGTGGATCACGTGAGGTGAGGAGTTCGAGACCAGCCTGGCCAACACAGTAAAACCCGATCTCTACCAAAAATGCAAAAAATTAGCCGGATGTGGTGGCGGGCGCCTGTAATCCCAGCTACTCAGGAGGCTGAAGCAGGAGAAATGCTTGAACCCAGGAGGCAGAGGTCGTAACGAGCAGAGATCACCCCACTGCACTCCAGCCTGGGTGACAGAGCAAGAGTCCATCTTAAAAAAAAGAAAAACTCATTTCACACACACAAAAACCAGGAAACGGTAATTCCTGTGCTTGCTTTACTGAAGTACTAAATGTTAATGAAACGAATCAGTGAGCACGGCCAACCTTCTGTGTCAAGGATGCCATGATCACACCCATTTTCCTGCCATGTGAAAACCGCAGCTCCATTTGAAATGGTTTCTCTCCTCTGTAAACATCTGTCTTGCTCTGGGTGTGTCAATCTTATGAATATATTCTGATGCCTGCCTTTGACTGCTGGAATTTAAGGCAAGCTTCTGGGAAAACGGCTGATGCTGCCCTCCTGAGAGGCGGCTGTTTCTAGCAGCCGGTTCTTTCCTGGTCGACTGGAGCACGAGACCAGGAGGCACTGAGCGTGCGTCCCAGACACCAGCTTGCTAGGGACAGACACGAGGAGGCGAGGATAAAACCCATCATGGTGAAGGAAACAGGCCCTAAGTCAAAGTCACAAAACTGTAAAGACCCAACTGTATTAGTCTAGTTCCTCATGGAGAGAAGATTTTTCGCCCAGAAATCTAAAATGCTGATCTGAGCTACTGGAATTCAGAACTCCCCAGCCTCGTCAAAGTCCACTCTTGATGGCCCTCTGCAAACAAGAGCTTTCCATCCCACAAACGCACGCCCACTCCCCATTCTGCAAAGGCCCGCTTCCCATCCCGTGAAGGCTCATTTTCCATCCCACGAACACATGCCTGCTTCCCATCCCGCGAACGCCCGCTTCCCATTCTGTGAACGCCACACTTCCTGCCTGCATTTGGCTGAAACATCCACGTTAAGTGGACGTATGCCATTCAAACCAGTGTGGTTCAAAGGGCCAACTGCACTGTTATTTTAAAACGAATTAAATGAACATGTTAAAAACCTGTGATAACTGCTCTACTCCAAACACCCCTCCTCTGAGGTCTCAGAGAAGGCCACGGGGGAGCATGTGGGGAGCCTGACGTTCACACCCAGCGGCAGCAACAAGGCCCCTCCCACCCATGTGGGAGGGTCCAGACTCTCCCCAGCCCCCATTGGAGATGCAGACACCCCTCCCATGGTGCCAGTGACAATGCTGTGTGGAGCCAGGACTGCCACAGCAACAGTGCTACCCCACCCCTACAGCCATCCGCCAGCAACGGTACCACCCTATCCCCCACAGCCATCCACCAGCAACGGTACCACTCCCCCCCATAGCCGTCCGCCAGCAACGGTGCCACCCTATCCCCCACAGCCATCCACCAGCAATGGTGCCACTCCCCCCCATAGCCGTCCGCCAGCAACGGTGCCACCCCCACCTCCACAGCCATCCACCAACAATGATGTCACCTCACCCCATAGCTGTCCACCAGCAACGGTGTCACCCCAGCCCCCAGAGCCGCCCGCCAGCAACAATGTCATCAGAGACCCCACAGCTGTCCACCAGCAAGTGTCACCCCACCTCTCACAGTCATCCACCAGCAAGTATCACCCCACCCCCAACCACCATCCACCAGCAACAATGTCACCCCAGCCCCCACGGCTGTCCACTAGCAAGTGTCATCCCCACCCCCACAGCCATCCACCAGCAACAGTATCACCCCCACCCCCACTCTCAGGCCTCAAAAGATGCCATGTGGGGGAGTGGACTCCTGTCCCAACTTGCAGGAACAAGGGAGCCTCCACTCCTGCTGCTGGAGCACGGCCTGAAAAAAATCAGTGATGGCAGAAGGTTTACATAAGATCCAAAGTCTCCTAACACCATGTGAAGAGGTCTGGGTTCAAATCCAATGTCACAGTCGCCGCAAGAACCAGGAAGATCTAAAACGATGAGAAAAAGACAATCGACAGAGGCCGAGCTTCGAGGCAGAGATGCTAACATTCCGACAACGACTTTACAGCATCCATGATACAAACGCTTCAAGAGGCAACTGCAAATATGCTTGAAGCAAATGGAAAACACAGAAAGGCTTGGCAAAGAACCAGAAAGACAGAGATTTTAGAAATGAGAGATATAAAACTAAAACCAAAAACTGTCACGGACAGACTAGCAGCAAATGCAGGAGACAGAAGTCAGTGAGCCTGAAAGTCTACCAGAAATCACGAATCTGAACAACAGAGGAAGTGAGCTGACAGGAAAAAGGAACACCATTTAGGATGCGTGAGACAGAACAAGGCTCAGCATCTGTGTCCCTGCTGTCCCATGCGTGGCAGAGATGGCCCTGAAGAGCAACGGCTGGAAGTGCCCCAAAGACTTCAAAAGACATAACCCTTCCAACTCACACAGCAGAGCCAAACCTAAACAAGATCAACCAGGAACTTCGGTTAAAGATGCAGACAGACCTTGAAGGCAGTCAAAGAGAAAACACAGCTTACCCAGAGGAAAAACGGTCAGAAACAGAAGATCACTCAAGTCGGATGTTTCTCAGGTCCTGAGGAAAAGGAAGGTCCACCCAGAGTCTTGTCCCGTGAAAACGTCCCCTAGCAAGAGAGGGGCAGGAGTGGGCCCCGGGCTGCCCTGAGAGCAATGGTTGTCCCTGCAGGTTGGGAGGGAAGGACCTTGAGCGAGCCTCCTGCAAGGATGGAAGCAGGAATCCAGTCAAGCACTGGAGACTCCACTTGGGTTCTCTAGATCATGCTTGACTGTCGAAACTCATGTCCTAAGAAATCATCCCAAAACAAGCAGAGGGAAGACGACATGAAGGCTGAAAACGAAAAAAATCAGCGAAGGTAAACGGAGCCACAAACAGCCACAACTCACCCAAACGCAACGGATCCTGTGAAACGCCCTATAACTACTGAAAAAGTGAATATGAAATTTTAAATCTTGCAAAAATAAAATCTCCAGGACCAGACGGTCTCACTGGAGAATTCTCCCAACTGTGTGAAAGAAAGGGGCAAGTCCATAGTCTCTCCAGGGATGCTGGAGGGTGGGGCGCTCCCCACCTCATAACAGGAGCCGCAACAAACCTGGGCGCAGACAGCACAAAATGTGACAAGTGCAGCCCCCCAGGCCCCTCCACATCAACATCAAGACACTTCACAGAAGAGCAACAAGGTTATTCTACACCATAACCAACACACAGGCTCCTCCACCCCACAACCAAGGGACTTATTTCACAGGAGAACGTCGAGGCTGCTCCACCCCACAACCAAGGGACTTATTTCTGGGTTGCAAAGTTGTTTCCACATCCAAAAATCAGTCAGCGTGACCACCACATACTGACAGGCAAAAGAAGAAAAACCATACCATCATACCAAACAACACACAAACACCTAAAAAATTCAACACCTGCTGGTGATAAACACTCAGAAAATATGAAACCCCTCAACTTGACCAAGGGCATCTATGAAAAATCTACGGGCAGAAAACCCAGAAACAGACCACACAGGTGTACCTGAGAGCCCTCTAGACTCTGGGGCGGAAGTGTCTGCGGACGGAAAACGGTGCCTGTGACAACGTGGCTGGGGCCAGAAAATCAACCTCAAGCACATCTCAGGCTGACATGTTAAACAAAAGACTACAGAACTTTCAGGGTAAAACATAAGAACATCTCTGGGACCTGGGACCTGGGACTAGCTATTAGTTAACTTGACATCAAAAGCATGATCCCTAGAAGGAGGCAGTGATGAACTAAAAACTGTGCTCTGCCAAAGACCCTCTTGAGGATGAAAAAGCAAGTTGCTGACTGGGAGAAAGGATTTGTAAGTCACATAACCAACCAAGTACTAGTATGAAAATGTATTTTAAAAACTCTCAAAATCGACGGTAAAAACCCAAACAATCCAATTAGAAAATGGGCAAAAGACCCAAACAGCCACCTCACTGAGCAGAACATGCAGACGGGACGCGGAACGGTGTCGCTATTCACTAAGAACATGCACAGTGCAGCCACAATGAGCTTGGGACACACCTATCGGGAATGGCTAGTCAACAGCACTGGCCAGGCCGCCTGCATCACTCACTGCCGGTGAGAATTCCAGAAAAAGGGCTGGCAGTTTCTTTAAAAAGCTAAACACGCACTCACCACCCAATCTGGCAACTGTACCACTGGACATTTATCCAAAGAAATAAAAACTTAGGTTAAGTATCCCATAGCCAACATGCTTGGACCAAACGTGTTTCAGATTTTGGATTTCCGAATTTTGAAGTATCTGCATCACACTTAGGAGTTGAGCAACCCCAACCGGTGACCCCAAATCTGAATGTTCAATGACCCTTTCCTTGCAGGGCCACATCAGTGCTCAGAAAAGTGCAAATCTTGGAGCATTTCTGATTCTGGATTTTCAGATGAGATGCTCAACCTTGTGTAAATGTTTAGAGCAAAGGCTGAAAGCAACCCAAACGTCCCTCTCAAAGGGTGAACAAGGTGAAATCACAGATGGCTCCTCCACACACCACCAAACACCGCTCAGCAAGAGGGGGGCATGAGCAAGGGGCACAGCAGCAACTCAGAGGCGCTCCAGGAATTGTGCTGAGGAAGGAGGGTCAGCTCCAGATGGCTGCCAACTCGCTGTACACAGCACTCCTGAGAGGACGAGGGACAGCGAGGGACAGTAGGTGGAGGGCCAAGGGTCAGGGAGAGGGAAGTGGCTGAGGTCGTGAGGGGCTTCAGGGGAGCTGGTGTGAGGGTTCTGTGTCTGGATGAGTCTGTGTGGGTCCTAGTGGGAGCCTGTTCCCCACTTTCACAAGATGCAACCACAGGGAAAACGGGATAAAGGAGGACCTCTCTGCATTATCACTGCATGTAAATCTACAAATATCTCAAAATTTTAGCCAAAAAACCGAATGGTCACACTCACATCCAGGTCCCTGGTGAACCTGCCTACCAGCCGAGCACCAAAAAGGTCAAAGCCAGAATTAGAAAAAACTTACAATGTCCAAAACCTGAGGTGAGGACCAGTCCAGGGACAGAGGGCCAACTGCCTTGACCACCTAGGGCCCTGTCACAATGGGTCTGCACAGGGTTCCGGGCACAGAATGGGGAACCACCACTCTCAGGGGAGATGGGGCCACTCTTGCACTGTGTCACCAACACACGTGACAGATGAGGCCTGGGGCTGTTCAGGCACAGGACTGACGGTGAGTGGTGCCATGGGAGAGCTGGGCTGCATGGCGCAGCACTGTTGCAAGGGCATGGGGGTGGCCGCAGGAGACCATGCGGGACCCGTCTGCACAGGTAGAGCGCTCTGGTCCTGCAGGCACCAGGGTTCCACACAAACCCAAGCAGGGGAGATTCTAGGACTAAACCAGAAGAAGACACCCTACATGAGGTCAAGGGATTGAGACCATCCCAGCCTACACGGTGAAACCCTGTGTCTACCAAAAATACAAAAATTAGCCGCGTGTGGTGGTGCATGCCTCTAATTCCAGCTACTTGGGAGGCTGAGGCAGGAGAATCGCTTGAACCTGGGAGGAGGAGGTTGCAGTGAGTTGAGATGGTGCCACTGTACTCCAGCCTGGGCAACAGAGTGAAACTCCATCTCAAAAAAAAGAAAAAAGAAAAGAAAACAGCCCAGTGTGGAGGGGTGGCAGGGGCGTGGCCAGTCCACACAGACCCGGGTGCTCTCCAAAGTAAAAAAACCTCCAGAATTCCTGGTCCCACTGCCTCAGACTTCCAGGGTAGGTCTAGCCTGGGGAGGGGACATTAAAACAGGGACTCTTTTTTTCTTAGATAAATTGGTTATTTCATCAATTTGGAAAACTATGAAAAAGCAGAACCGATGCTCATTTCAGGAGAACTCCGTTCCCAACACACACAAGTGAGGGGAGGGACATTTCCTTCACGCGACAAAGCTACACCTACCTGGATCACACAGACCACGCAGCACATTTCTGAGGCCACAACAGCACAATTATCACAACCTAACAAATCACATTGACACCCTTCGTATGTAAATGGCTGGTAGTAACTTAAGTAAAATTGATAGTTTGGTGCAAATTACACTTTCAGATTAAAAAGAGAAGAAAATGCCATCAAAAGTTGACTTATTCAATGAACTACAGCCCAGGAAAGGCAGGCAGAGCTGAAGACTGTGTGATGTGCCAGTAGAAACTGAACTGCTGCTGTTCAGCTTAATCACACACAGACGGCGATCTGCTGCCACATTATCAGTGCTGCCCAAGCGAAGCAGCGTTTGACTTCACTCAAACTCAGCTTACCGTCTGCACGTCCGTCTTCAGACGACTGTTTTCCTCACTGACCTTAGGAATTCCTAGCTCACGTCAAGCAAGGCTGAATAATTAACAGACCAGTTTTGACCACTTTATGTAGTTTAAGACAATGAGGCCAGGAGTTCGAGACCAACTTGGGCGACATGGTGAAACCCCGTCTCTACTAAAAATACAAAAATTAGCGGGTGTGGTGGAGCATGCCTTTAATTCCAGCTGCTCAAGGGGCTGAGGCAGGAGAATTTCTTGAACCTGGGAGGCAGAGGTTGCAGTGATCGCACCACTGCACTGCATCCTGGGTGACAGAGCAAGACTGTCTCAAAAAAAAAAAAAAAAACTGAAGAAAAAAGTAAGTCAAAGGTTTGATTTTATTTTTATTTATTAAAAAAAATTTTTTTTTTTGAGACCAGGTCTGACTCTGCAGCTCTGACTCACAGCTCACTGCAGCCTCGAACTCCTGGGCTCAAGCCATCCTCATGGGTCTACCTTTCAAAGCACTGGGACTGCAGGTGCAAGCCCCTCCCCCACCATTTATGTAACTGTGAGAAACAGCGTCTAAAACACAGGTGCTGCTCGTAGTACCCACTGCGTGGCTTCACTTACGGAAGCGTTTTGTAAAACTGCAGTTTAGAGCTAAATCTCAGCAGTATCACTTTAATGCACACATCTGTCCTACAATTGTGCTTCTACTGATGAGAGTCACAGCACACGACAGACCCTGACTCTTGAGATGTCACATCTCCATGTCGTTCTGCTCTAGGAGGTGCTGGCCCATTCGCCGCCTGGCCCACAACAACCCCACAGGCCAGGCTCCACCACACCGTCCTCAGAAGGGTCCAGGAGTTTTGTCACCCGGCTGGAGGGTTGGAATTAATTAAGTCAAATGAAGAAATAAGAGTAACACCGAAGGGCTAAGCCCTGGTGTTATGGAAAGAGACCTGTTTCCAGCCCCTGGAAACACCACAGAGGTAAGAGCGCTGCAGGCTGGGCCTGAGTGGCTCCAGGGCCCAGCTGGTCACCAGGAGGCTTTGGCAGGAAAAGAGGGCAATGGTGGACCAGCCATGCCCCCTCCACTGAGCTTCTGGGGAGCACACGCGATGCTCCCCCTCCTTTAACCCGGTAACGTTGGGTGAAATGTTTTCCTGAGTTTCCTGAGCTGATTCAGATGATCAAAACAGCACAAGTCTGAGTGTAGGAACCCCCAACACTGCAGCTGAGCTGGACGGCGAGGCGGCCTGGGGGTCCGAAATGAGGGCAGCCTGGTGGGACTGAGCTCCTAGACTCAGAGCCTGATGCCACCTGTGGTCATCAGCGTCAGAAACAAACTGAACTGCAGGCACCTGCTGTCGTGGGAGAGGCAAGCGCTAGAAAGAGGACACTGTATTAAACCCCAATAAGCCCACACAGGAGGCTCTTCTAAAGACCAGAAATGACACCACCACCAGGACGCCCTCCTAACCATGGGAGGTGACATCCCCAGGACCTTCCTAACGATGGGAGGTGACGTCCCCAGGACACCTTCCTAATGGGAGGTGATGTCACCAGGACCCCTTCCTAACGATGGGAGGTGACGTCACCAGGACCCCTTCCTAACGGGAGGTGACGTCACCAGGACGCCTTCCTAATGGGAGGTGACGTCACCAGGACCCCTTCCTAACAATGGGAGGTGACATCACCAGGACGCCTTCCTAACGGGAAGTGATGTCACCAGGACCCCTTCCTAACAATGGGAGGTGACGTCACCAGGACGCCTTCCTAACGGGAGGTGACATCACCAGGACACCTTCCTAACGGGAGGTGATGTCACTGGGATGCCTTCCTAACGATGGGAGGTGACATCTCTGTATGGCTGGGGATCCTCTTACCTGTCATCAAAATGGAGAACCTCGAATTCAACCTAACTCAACCCCACAGCATTGCCAGGCTGCTGCACAGGAGGCCACCCGTGCTGGCCCAGCTGCCCCAGCTGCCCATGGCCACTCTGCACCTGCACCTGCACCTGGCCCACTGCCCAGTCATGCGACTCCTCCTCCTCTTAGCATTACTCCCCGCCATGAACCCAAGGGCTGTGAGGGGCACGTGCTGCTCTGGACAGAACACAGTCTATGAGACAGAAAACCCAGGAGGCACTAGAGTACGTTTTTAGGCGGAGTGGCCTCTCCCGAAAGCTGACTGGGCTTTGTCGTGGTGTCTGGTGGGGTCCTCCTTGCCTGTCCACCTAGGCTTCTGGCTTAGAATGTTGCCACCCACTGTGCTCTGGCCACTCCTGCTCCCCTGACCTGGGAGGGCCCTGCACTCTGGGCCTCAGTGTCCCCACACAGGGACAGCGCTGGATCCCAAAGGACTCACAAAGGCTGAGGGCTGATCTCAGGTGCACTCAGGAAAACAGGCACAGAAGCCACGTGCTCAGAGCCCACGATCTCCCGTCTCCCGGGCAGCACAGATCCTGGCTACTCACACCTTCCAGTCCAATAAAGTTTCCCTTCCAACTGCCACTGGTACCACCCCTGCACCTCCACCCACCCTCACTGCAGGCAGCTGGTGCCATCCCCCTAACAGACCAGAGCAGCAAGCTTGTTGAGCCCTCATTAGCTGGGGAGTGCGGCCGGGCTGCCATGTACCTGAAGGAGGAGGGCTCCTGGCGGATGGGCAGGGAGCTGGGGGGTGCTGGGGGCCCCCGGGCACCCGTCCTGATGAGCTTTCCCGTGTTGGAGTCATAGATCCGAACCTCAGGGCCAGGCTGGGCCTTGGGAAGAACCGGCATTGGGTGGAACAGGGCAGTGGGGGGCACACCCTCCCGGTCGGGAAAGGCCGCGGGGCTGTTCTCCCTGTAGGAGGAAGAGAACAAGGGCTGTGAGCGGGTATCCAGGCGATGCAGGGCAGGCATGCAGGGACTCCCAGCGGGCACTGCCCAGGCATGTGAAGCAACAGCCACCTGGAGAGAGACCGCCTGGCAGGGACTGGAAGCACCCACCTCTGTGCCTTGGTGTGGTCGTCCCTGAGCGGGAAGAGCTGCTCCTCCACCTTGTCCCAGCGCTCCAGGCAGCTCCACAGCCAGTCAGGATTGACCACGTGCAGGTGCCCACACTCCTGTGCCTGCAGCACCTTCTCTGTGCCTGCGGGAGACCGGGCTGAGTCAGGCTCAGGGCGCTCACCTGGCTGCACCCCACTAGGGCTGCCCATCACAGGTGCCCATCTCCCAGGCCAGGGACAAGCAGCCATGGTGGGAAGGGAAAGACAGGTAAGGCTGGAGTGGGGAGGGTGGATCGTGGACAGGGAGCTGGGCGCAGTGGGTGACGTGAGCAACAAGAGGACCCTTTAATGTGTTCAGGAAAGCCCCTCAGCAGTGAGGCCACTAACACGGAAGCAAAACGGAAACGTAAGCACGATTTGGGGAAGGGAGAAGTGAGAGGAGGATCAGGAGCTGGGCAAATACAGAGCACAGCAGACGGGCACTCGAGGGGCTGTGGAGGCCCCGGCCTGTCTCAGCTCCATGGTCAGGACACAAGGGCCTGACTGCCCACGGGGCCGAGGCTTGGCTTCCTCCCGGGACTCACAGAGCCTGCCTCCACCCTGCAGCTAGCACCCAGCTATTTCACACTGAGATGGAACCTTCCATTTCACCCTTGACTCAAATGCTTACTGAGCACATGCTTGTCCAACGCCACAAGATACACGCTGGAGGCGTGACCTCAAATGACAGGGAGCATTTGCGTGGCCGGGGATGAGCTCACCCTACAGCCACAGGAGCCACAGAGGCAGGGCCAAGCACTGAAAAGCCCTCTCAGGACACGTGGCCAGGAGAGAAACGACGACTGGAGGAGCAGAACCTGAAGGCGTTCAAGCAACCTTCACTTGGGAAAGATCAAGGTGCTTATGGGAGTATTTTAACACAGTAACTAGGTATTTGGGTTTTTTAAGCAACGAGGTGTGAGCCTTCCTTCAAGATTCACCTATCGCTGAAAGGTTCTGTTTTACTCGGTGGAAGTCTCAAACACGGCAGCCTGTCCTGTCTGGGCAGGTTTCACCGTCGGGGGACAGTGGCCCGTCCTCCGCTCTTCCAGCCACCACGCGTCCGTCCTTCTGTGTGCACTTCGGCTGAACCCTGTGCTTGGCTTCCTAACTCGGAGGGTTTGTCCGCCTTTCACCTGTGAACTGAAGTCCCCAGCTCCTGTTCCTGCCTGGAGTGTCTCCACTGCGCCCCATTGCTGATTCCCTGTTCTTACTCCAGGAAGGAGCTTCTAACTGTCTGCCCCACACACTAGTAACTCCTGCCACCTGGCATGGTGTGCATTGGCGATGACTGTGGTCCGAAAGCATGAACGTGCCCAAACCTGAATTTCACCCAATGTCAGGATCTATTCTTAAAAGATGGTGATTCTGGAAAACATTTCTGAAAACTGAACGTGAGATAAACAGCAATGTCAACTCTAAGGCATGCTGGCAAGGAGTCTGCGGGCCTGACCACGCATGCCCAGGGTGTGGGGAGGGAGGCGGCACTCACCAGCCCGTGCGGCGATCAGGTGCGTGGCCCTGTCAGGGGCATCGGGACTCAGCACCAGCCGAGTGAGGATCTTTGCTCCCAGTGCTGTGGCGTGGTAATGCTCCCGCGTCTTCTCTATTGGGAAGTTGGTGGGGTGCAGCCCACTGAAAATGATGGCCACGTCCGCCAGCACCTTGCTCTTGAGCTCCGGCACGATCTTGCGGATGTCTGGCGCCTCCTCGATCTCCTTGTTGAGGAAGCGGTCGTACTTGGCATAGTAGTCGGTGTGCACACGGACCAGGATCTCCTCCAGGTAGATGAGGTGGTCATCCTCATCCGTGTCCTCCTCCTCCTCCTCCATGCTCTGGTCCAGGGACTCGCCCGCGGTGACGCCCGACAGCTCGCTGTTCTGAGACTCGGTCTCTGCCTCCTTCCTGTCGGCACAGCCGTTGCCCAGGCTGCAGAGGCTGTCCCGCTCGCCCTCCTCCTGCCCACCGAGCTCGGGCCCCTTGTCCGGGACATGTGCGCTGGGCTCGGCCTCTCCAAGGGAACTTGGCCCTGCAGGCCGGCTTGCCTCCAGGGGCCTGCCCTGCACCAGCACCTCAGCTCCCTCTGGGGCAGCCTTCGGCTTCTGTCGGCCTCTCCTCCCTTCACTTTCACCGTCAGAAGCCGAGGGGGAGGACTTTGTGCCCTCCGACTCACTGCTGCTCTCGCTGTCACTGGATAGGTCAAAGTCCAGGTCAGTGCCCATGGCACCCTGGGCAGGCCGCTGTCCCGGTGCTGCCCGGCCACCCTGTGCACAGGATCCCTGAGGCTCGAGAGCACCTGCCAGCTCTCGGCTGCCAGCGGGGGCCTGGGCAAGGGGCCAGGTGTCCTTCTCATCTGGCTTCCCAGGGCGGGGTGAGTCCTGCAGGACGGCAGCCTCGCTGCCGTTCAGCTCCCGTGCTGCTGTCTCGAGGCCGTTGCTGGGCTCCACTCCAGGGGCCTGTGCTCCCTCCTCAGGGTCTCTCACGGGCGGGGCTTGCTCTGAGACCTCGGTGCCTCGAGAAGAATGATTTACTAAATATGCACGCAAAAGGAAAAGTTACCACGATTCAGCATTCAACATTAAATAGCGTTCAAAGTTAAAGCAGCACCCTCTCCACAGCCGAGAGCTCTCAGTCACCCCCAGACCAGGCCTTGGCAAAGGTGCTGTGCAGAGCCGGGAGGGCTGAGTACCCCTCACCCCAAGCACATGGGCCCAGAGATGTGTTGGATATCGAGTTTGTTTTCTGATTTTGGAGTATTCGCATTAAACTTCCAGTTCAACATCCCAAGTCTGAAAACTCCAAAATGCTACATGAGTATTTCCTTTCCTTTGAGCACTATGTGGGTACTCAGGAAGTTCTGGATTTGGGGGATGAGGGATCCTCTACCTCCAGGGACCACTGGAGGTTTGCTTCCCAGCTCTGGGCTGCAGACCTGGCACCCTATGGCCACGGTTTATCAAGCCCCGCTCCGGAGGACGTCGCTCCGGAGGACTCACCATCTGGTGAGTCCCCACCTCTATGGCAATGCCTCCAGTTCCCCTCTCTCCTGGTCTTAACCTCCAAGTTCCATTTTAGTGACTACAGCAGTAAATGTATGCCTCAAAATACTTTTTAAAAAATAAACATCAAAAACACTTAACTTTTCACAGGGTGAACGCCAGCTGCACACCTGCCTGACATGTTAAACCACACCGCTCTCTGGGGCCCTGGCCAGCGCCCAGCCGGACCACCGTGCACTGGGAATGGTTCCTCCCCATGGAGCCACTGCACCCCACATTTGCGCTCTCTACAGAACGCCATGGACAAATGCCCAGGGGTACATTCAAGGAAAACTGGGATGAAAGGCGCTGCTCAGATGTATTAAGTAAACAGCATTCTTGAGTCTTTATTCAACTGGGAAAATGTTTAAGTTAAGGCCATTTTTTAAGGCCCAAATTGAAACAACGTAATATCCTGTTTTTCAGTACTATTTAAATAAATCCAATAATCTCTACTGAAATACAAACAAACAAAACCAAACTGCATCTTAAATTCACAGCAGTCAAAATAGACAAGAAATGAGAAGAGAGAAACGATAAATAAAATGCAAAGAATCAGGAAGCAGGCTGCCCACCTTTCCTTCTTGTCGGAGACGCCCGGGACCCGGGGGGCGCGTTCATGTCGCCTGTGCCCTGGAAGTACACGTATTTCTTCACAGTGATCAGGTTGGGGGCGAACTTCCAGACGTCCTCTCGGTCATCGATAATGCAAACCATTGAGTCTCCACAAGGAAAGAGATTTCTACAAGCGAAAATGCATAATTTACAAAAAATAACAATGAAAAGCTGTAGTCATTCACTTTGTCAAGCGTAACAGTTTAAGACTTGAATCCACATGCAGCCAGCAGACAGCAGGTTAATCAGAAACAGACGCCAACTGGCCCGGAGCCCTTTCGGTTTGGGTCACATTTAAACGTCCTTAACAGCTTCCCCACTGTTCCCGATCTCCTTCAAGCAGGAGTTCTCAAACCGTTTTTTAAAGCACCAGAGTCACTACTTCAGGCATTAAGGGCCAGCCACAGGGACAAAACCCAACTCCGACCGCGTGGGTGCGGCCATGTTCCATGCACAAACATGGCTGAGGAGCCTAAAGGCCAGAATGTGCTGTCTCTGAACACAGAGTGGGCTAGGCGCAGTGTGGCTCGTTCCCGTAATTTCCAGAGCTTTGGGAGGTCTTGGTGGGAGGAAAGCTTGAGCCTAGGAGTCTGAGACCAGCCTGGACAACAAAGCAGGACCCTGTCCCTACAAAAAACACAGAAATTATCCAGGCGTGGTGACAGGCACCGGTAGTCCCAGACGCTCAGAAGGCTGAAGCGGGAAGATGGCCCGAGCCCAGGAAGTCGAGGCTGTGGTGAGCTGAGACCCCACTATGCACTTAAGCTTGGGTGACAGAGCAAGACCCATCTTAGAAACAAAACACAGACCCACTGCCAATACAGGACTTCTAAGAGGACCTCCAGCTACCTCCATGCAAGCCACAGCGTCCATCACCAGGGCCCATCCTGGGCACGTCCCCATCCTACATTCTGGCTTCAGCCGACTGTCCTTAACAAATCACTGTCAGTACTTCCCATTCTCTGTTCCGATCAAGCTGCTCACTCTGCCACACACTAGCAAAAAGGTTTGTTTTTGAAGTAAATACCTTCAGATTCTCTTCTTAGTTAACACTAGCTTGCATAGGCCTCACAGTCTGTGTGGACTCCCTAAATCTAAAAACCAAAATGCTGAGAGGCAGGCGGCCACCGTGAGCCAGGAAGTGACTGATGCTGAAGCTGTGACCGCCAGGGCTCTCGGGAGAAAAAGCCACACCTGCCGTGGTGTCTCGGCAGCAGGACGGACTTCCGGGTGGAAATGGGGAAGCTCTTCATACAGAGTGGGCAAGAAACATCAAAGAATATAAAAGAATATACAAAAGTCTTGCATAGGGGTGGAGAGGGGCCAGTCGTGTCAAAAAAGCTCAGAGGAGCTGACGGGGATGGGCTCTGGAACTGATGGAAAGGAAGAAATGGCAAAAGGCAAAAATATGGGAAAACGGTCATGAGACCTAGGGTTTTCTAAATTATTAGTAGGATTAACACAGGCAAGCTCCTAGGAAAATTACAAACCGCAGATGCCAATGCTGACGTTAAGAACACTCCCTAAACCAGCAGCCCCACAAAGCTGCAGATCTGTACGTTGGATGGAGTCACGGACATTCCTCTGTCCACTCAGGCCCTCACGGCTGCCGCCTCCCTGATGCCCACTGCGTCCCTACATGGCTCTGCCCTCCTGGGTTCTGGGCCCAAAAGTCAGTCCCTGAGTTCCCCAGAAGCCCTGGCCATTTCCTGGATACTCAGAGGCAAAAAGGCCAAATGCTTCACACCTGGCTACTGTGGGGACGCACACTGCCTCCTGCCTCTCCAACTACAAACCTCAGCGCCAGGTGTTTGCACAGGAATGAAAATCTGAAGCTAAAGGGACTAGAACGATCACACACGCCAAGACTGGTTAAGCAAACAGATACACAAAGTCAGGTGGCAGGCTGACATCAAATGCGTGCCATCTGAGAGACGAGGCAGAGAGGACGACAGTCCCACCTCCACAGACACAAGGCCCAGCTCCAGGGTGGTTTCAGGGCAGGGCTGTTGGGACAGGCAGAGCCTGCATCAGGGGCTGTGTACAAACACCAGGGCTCAGGCAGCCTGGGAGGCAGCAGGAGCACAGGTTAGAAAGGAATTTTCTCAGTACTCTGAGGCTAACAAGGAAAACTGGAGAGAGGACAGGAAATTCCTAAAAAACACCAATATGAATATTGGTCTAAATCTCAAAATGTGATTTTTAAAATGGGCAATGAACAGCGAGTAGTCTCTGTGATGAACTTGGCCGGGTACATACCTAAGGTTTCCTGTTTTAGAAAATGGGTCGATACATTCATCCCTCGATAATATTCGATGAGAAAAAAGCTTCTTCTCGGGGTCTAAAAATCCTTGAAAAGAAAACAGGACAAAGATTGCACATCTGAGATGCATTTACATCACACAGCACATGGCGAAGACCTGGGTGCTTCCTCACAGGGCAGACACAAAGCATGGAAAACTGGTACCAAACACTTTACCCTGTTCAGGTAAGATGCCTCATTTAGGGCTTCTGATTGCTCAAGGTGAACTTATTTCTCAAACACAAATTATGTTGACAAGTGTCTATAATTCTATTAATCTGAAAAATTTCTAATGTCCTACTGAAGTGCCTATGTAAACTAGACGGGTAAGAAAATTATGGAAGGCACCTGCATAAGGAAAACAGGAAAGCTACCATTCTATCTCGAAACACTCTGTGTGTGCTTCTCCACGTGACCGAGTCTAGATATGAAACTGAAATTATTCTGTGTCCCTTTGGATATAACCCTTCCTAACCCCAGGTAGGCAGCCCACCACTCTTGTCTGTAACGGTTAGTGGAGGAAAGCTATCAAGGAGGCTCGCTTCTCCCATATGCTTTAGTAGAATGATACAAACTCCCATGCTGTGTGGTAGAAATACACAGAAAGGCCAGTTACTTCTCACCATGATACACCACGTTTTAGCGCTGCTAATTGAGGCAACAAAGAAGCTTGCCTGACAGAAGAGACTGGGAAGAAGGACAGACTTGACATCCCGCTGACCAGCTGCTGCAGAATGTACTTCCACAGTGAGGAATCTGCTTGGGCTCATTCGACACCTCCTTTACCTGACATCTGTCATTACAAGTCTAGTGAAATTTTTACCAACCATTTTCTAAAGAGCTTCAGGTGCTTGAGGATCTGCTTTGGCTCCTTAAACATAGCGATCCCATGCTATGTGCAAAGCCACCTACAGTTCAGGAAGCACCCTGATCACAACCAACAAATCAGGCAGAGACTTCTTGGCATTACTTCCACTCTGGGTTTCTTGGTCTACAAATTCACCTTCGAAACTCTAAGCCTACTGTGGTATCTTCCTCACTTTGCGAAGTTTTCAATTCACATTAAAGTGCCCATATTTATATATAAAGACTTTTAAAATAAGTTATCTCTTGCTAATTTACAAGAACCATAGAATATGCAGTAAGCGTATTTCAGTTTGTGGAAGTAGGGCACTAAAGAAAAGCAAAACAGGCTTTTCAGGCAATTTATTCCATTAGTAAAATATGCTGGAGGAATCAAGTTCAATGTCAATTTAATTTCACCAACCATTTAAAACATTCTGGAGGTGAAAAGCTACTGTAATTATGAAGCCTCAGAAAGCAACATTTCAGTTCCTCATCATATAAGTGGCTGAAGGCATAAATCTGTGCACTCCCCAAGGGACAGGTATGCTATTGCACCTGTACATACCCCAAGGGACAGGTACGCTATTGCACCTGTACATACCCCAAGGGACAGGTACGCTATTGCACCTGTACATACCCCAAGGGACAGGTACGCTATTGCACCTGTACATACCCCAAGGGACAGGTACGCTATTGCACCTGTACATACCCCAAGGGACAGGTACGCTATTGCACCTGTACATACCCCAAGGGACAGGTACGCTATTGCACCTGTGCATACCCCAAGGGACAGGTACGCTATTGCACCTGTGCATACCCCAAGGGACAGGTATGCTATTGCACCTGTACATACCCCAAGGGACAGGTACGCTATTGCACCTGTGCATACCCCAAGGGACAGGTACGCTATTGCACCTGTACATACCCCAAGGGACAGGTACGCTATTGCACCTAGACAAGGTGTTGAGGGGTGTTTGTTCATTTAACATTTACTCATCATACAAGTGGCTGAAGGCATAAATCTGTGCATACCCCAAGGGACAGGTATGCTATTGCACCTAGACAAGGTGTTGAGGGGTGTTTGTTCATTTAACATTTACTCATCATACAAGTGGCTGAAGGCATAAATCTGTACATACCCCAAGGGACAGGTATGCTATTGCACCTAGACAAGGTGTTGAGGGGTGTTTGTTCATTTAACATTTACTCATCATACAAGTGGCTGAAGGCATAAATCTGTGCATACCCCAAGGGACAGGTATGCTATTGCACCTGTGCATACCCCAAGGGACAGGTATGCTATTGCACCTGTGCATACCCCAAGGGACAGGTACGCTATTGCACCTGTGCATACCCCAAGGGACAGGTACGCTATTGCACCTGTGCATACCCCAAGGGACAGGTACGCTATTGCACCTAGACAAGGTGTTGAGGGGTGTTTGTTCATTTAACATTTACTCATCATACAAGTGGCTGAAGGCATAAATCTGTGCATACCCCAAGGGACAGGTATGCTATTGCACCTGTGCATACCCCAAGGGACAGGTATGCTATTGCACCTGTGCATACCCCAAGGGACAGGTATGCTATTGCACCTAGACAAGGTGTTGAGGGGTGTTTGTTCATTTAACATTTACTAAGTTTAACGTTACTTGGAATTTTACTGGGAATAGAAGGTACAAGAATGAATACAACACAAATATTACTCCCACAAGAGGCTGAACCTGTAAGAAAACTGAACACATGAACACACAACCTCTATCTGCCATGGCATGTACAGTTGCCACGGAACAAAATGGCGACTGGACTGCAGAAGAGAGAGCCGGTGCAGAGTTGGGAGCTGGGACTGCGGTCTTGCCATGGCATGTGGATCCCCTGCACAAATGTTAGTTATGCAGACAGCCAGGAGGCAGACTAGACATCTCAGAAGCACCACGAATCCAAACTCCAGCCACGCAGCCATGTTCTCTCAAGACTTAAGTCTCACTGGAAGGCCTGGCTCCACGTCCCTGTGTGGCACACAGGGTCCACATCTGGGATCTGAGCGCGCCCTGGAAGGCCTGGTGTCTCCTCCCCACGTGGAACATGGCGTCCACTTCTGGGATCTGAATGTGTCCTGACAGCACTCTATCCAATCACTACTGTTTTCACGCTGGCTTTTAACCAATTACCTCCTGCCCCCATCCCTACTGGGCTCATTCTCTGCACCACCACCTCCGAAATCACAACTGCGAGAAACACATTTGCTATTTCTAATACATGCAGAAACACACACAATACAGTTAAAACAAAAGAGCAGATCCGTGCACCTCAGTTACCCTGCAGCCCCCGTGCTGTGTGATGCACTCTGGACTCTGTAAGATCTTCTGGAAAATGAACCTGCTTCCTGGCGGAGGTGTCACCACCTCCAGACGTTTCAAATGCACCACTGTCAGGAACTTTTGGTTCCTTAATATCACTGGTTTGTTAGCATTTCATTAACAAAAAGATACTGAGGCTTGGTACGGTGGCTCACGCCTGTAATCCCAGCACTTTGGGAGGCCAAGACGGGCAGATCATGAGGTCAGAAGATCAAGACCATCCTAGCCAACATGGTGAAACCCCGTATCTACTAAAAATGTAAAAAATAGCCAGGTGTGGTGGCATGCACCTGTAGTCCTAGCTACTCAGGAGGCTCGAGCAGGAGAATCGCTTAAACCCAGGAGGCGGAGGCTGCAGTGAGTCGAGATCACACCGCTGCACTCCAGCCTGGGCAACAGAGTGAGACTCTGTATCAAACAAACAAACCAACCCATATTTGGACTTAAAGGAGAAATAAACCATACTGTTTCTTCCTGTGTAAAGAACATGTAAATTCTAGATGAGCACTGAGGCCACGCGGTTGCTAAATCTAGAGTCTGTTAATAGAATTAGTAGTCTCTACTGTAAGATAATGAAACGCATCCCAAACACTTACCATTTCTATCCTAGTCAGACTGAAAGCACACAGGCTATGAACACAGTCACTTTCTTTTTTTGACATGGAGTCTCACTCTTGCTGGCCAGGCTAGAGTGCAATGGCGTGATCTTGGCTCACTGCAGACTCCGCCTCCTGAGTTCAAGGAATTCTCCTGTCTTAGCCTCCTAAGTAGCTGGAATTACAGACACCTGCCTCCACACCTAGCTAATTTTTTTTGTATTTTTAGTAGAGAAGGGGTTTCACCATTTTGGCCAGAATGATCTCAAACTCCTGAACTCAGGTGATCTGCTGGCCTTGGCCTCCCAAAGTGCTGAAATTACAGGCATGAGCCACCATGCACAGCCAAACATGGTCACTTTCAACATGAAAAGCATCAAGAGCGGAAGCTCAGCAGCCACCTCAGTCTTCAGGCTGGACCTCACTTTCTCACTTGTTGAAAAGCTGGCCCAGGTCATCTCTACAGATCTCGCCAGCCACGAGCCTCGAGGCTCACCCATCAAAGCAGAGCTCGGTCTTCCTGAACCACAGCCTGGACGCAGCCCTCCTCCCACGTTGCTGGGCTGCTGAGAATCTCTGCATCTGTGCTCACAGGGATTGGTCTGCAGTTTCCCTGTGATGTCTTCGTCTGGTTTTCACCAACATCCCTCAAACCCACTGGAATACTGGACCTTGCGTGTAGAAAGCAGAGCTTAAAGTGGAGAAAGCACAGACAGGGCTCCGTGATGCCCAGCACACCTAGCAGGTCTCACTGCAGCAGGACCCAGGCTTGAGGCCCTCTGCAGACAGGTGACCATGAGCAGGTCACTACTCTGCTGTCCACGTGGCTTGGCAACCTGTGGACATCAGCATGAACATTCTGCTGAATCTGTAAGCAGCGACCGGGCTCCCTCTAGCTTTCAGGCTGATAAAGAAACATGGCATTCTCTTTACCTGCTCCATCTTACACCACACGAGGCCGCATTACTGTGGAGTCAGACTGCGGCGTCCCATGCCCTGCGTGTCCGTGTGGCGGGCAGCAAGGGCGTGGCCCAGCTGAAATCTGGAACCCCTTTGCTTTTAGCCCAACCCCCCTCCAGCCAAGCATTTAAACAGACCCGAGCCTTCCACATGCTCCTCCTCCCTGGGGCTTCTGTGCTCTGACCAACCCACACTGATGCCTCTCAGAAAAGGGTACGCAAGCTTGTGGAACAGCCAAGCTAAATAACCCAGCTTTAAACAGAGACCTGGAGAAGCAGCTCTGGCCACTAAACAAACGGACGGGAAGACAGGAGAGGAGGAGGAGAAAAACCACCGAAGTAGCCCAGACCGCCGTCTTCAGGAATCAGACGTGCAGGTCATCGCGCTGTGCCCGCTGGCGTGCACCCGTGCAGGAGACAGGAGGCTGCAGGCACTCGGCCAGCCTGCCGCCCTCCCCGGGAGCAGGCCACACAGTGCACAGTCCTCACAGTCCTGGGGGTCCGGAATCACTCCCTCCCCTGACAATCCTGGTTCCAGGAACTCACCCAGAGGACCCAGTCCACAGAGGAGGGAGAAAATCTTACATGAAATGATGAAGGTTTATAACCATGTGATGGATACATTCTTAGTGAAAAAATCTTATGTGAAAAGAAGAGTATGTAAACTTGTGTACATATTGAGACAAACTAGGCAAAATCACACACCAAGAAAACAGAGAATAGGGGATAGGCGTGAAGATGGTGACCGTGAGTAATAATTTTCTGGTGTTTAGTCTTTTCCTGACATTTGTAATTGTAAAAATGATGGCTCTCCCCGCTCCCCACCCTCCCGCATTGTCTAGTTTGAGTGGGTGTTACCATCACTGTGGTTTGTGTGACTTACAGGGTCGGCCCCTGGGAGGTGCCCAGGCCCTGGATGTGAAGGCACAATCTGGGCCAGGAGCACGCGAAGGATTCGGGGGTCTCCTCTCACACGCAGCTTGTGTGAGTTACAGGCACTGGGCACAATCTAGGCCTGGAGCATGTGAAGGATTCAAGGTCTGTTTTCACACAGCAGGTGGCTTAGTCAGCTGGAGCTGCTCTACAGAAACTCCGTAGAGTGGGTGACTCAGGAACACACGTCCCTCCTCACAGCTCTGGATACAGGAGCCTGACCAGGATGCCAATGATTTGGCTGCAGGTCAGTGGGTGCCGGCTCGCTATGTCCTCCTACGGCTACCCCCGCCTGCCTGGGTAAGGGTCCTGATTCCATTCATGAGCATGGAGCCCTCATGACCTCACCACCTCCCACGCCCCTCCTAACACCCTCGCCGCGGAGACTAGGTTTTCACATATGGACTCAGGGGTGTAAAACCATGAGATCATAGCAGGGGTTATTTCTCTGCTGGCCTGAGGACGTCACCAGCATCACCCTTGTGCACGATTACCTGTCTTCATATCATCTACCTCAGGCAGCCACAGAGCAACAGCCAAAATGTTACAGGTGAATGTGCCGATTTTTTTTACAGGAGGAATTAAAGGTCATGATCACAATTTTCTACAAAGGCACTAAATATTAAAGGAGGATTCAAAATTCATTTCCCCACCAACAACAAATGACTAAGACCAATCTAGAAAGACCTCTGAATTTTAAAATGCTCAATCTAACAAGCTCTGGAGCCGGCGAGGAGGAGCTATGCCTACGCTGTCACTCGGCATCCATATCCATGTGGGACAGACGGTCCCCGTCCCATGGCATCGTCCCCTTGCTGCCTCCCACGCAGGCTGGCGCTCACACCGTCATCCCAGAGACAGAAGCAAATGTTAAACCGTAAAGGTGCCCACGTCTAGGTAAGAGATGGTCACCCTGTGTGCAATGAGGCACCCAGCGTGAGGGCACAGAAGCAGCCTGGCCCGAAGTCCTCATGAACCAATTAAAAAGGTATTTGTCACAGTAAGTCCATAGAAAATGTGTCCACGTGGTCCCCTGCTTACCCAGTACTGCACCCAGCCGAAGTGACCCGCAGCCCCGCCTTCAACCAGCCCTGAGGGCAGAATTCCCCTCCTCACTACCCTCTGCACAACGGCCAACCCTAAGACTCAAACTGAGCTCCCGGGAGAGCTTCTTCGCTTTTCTTTCCTCACCTTTAAAAAACCATCACTGAAAACAGGAAATAAACCCGGTGTTCACACTGCTCAATCTGGTTGTGGCCGACTGACCTGCGATGGTGTGCGCATAGAGCCGGCTGCCGAAGGTGAAGACATGCAGCTCGTACAGCTTGGCGATCTTCTCCAGGAAGTCCTTGCAGTGAGGACGCAGGCGCGTGTGCAGCATGGGCTCGCCCCGGCCCAGCTGGAAGTGAAAGATGCCCTGAAAGAATGACGGGACGGTCAGGAGAAAAGGCTGAGGACCCCAGGAGCCCCTAAATCCACATGCCTGAGACAGGCGCCCTGAAGACACACATGTGCCCTCCCCTCCACATAGGACAGAGGACATGCGAGTGTGTACCCACCCCTCCACATGGGATAGAGGACATGCGAGTGTGTACCCGCCCTCCACATAGGACAGAGGACATGCGAGTGTGTACCCACCCCTCCACATGGGATAGACCCCGCCCCTCCACATGGGACAGAGGACACCTGTGTACCTACCCCTCCACATGGGAGAGAACATATGTGTGCCCACCCCTCCACATGGGACAGAGGACGCACATATGCCCACCCCTCCAAATAAGGATGTGACCCCAACTGGTGCAAGGAGCTACTGGTGACGTTTACAACCCAGTACTTTCTGTGCATGCAGTACAAGTGAGCAAGTGTGGCCTTCTCTGCTGTGGGAATGCCTGCAATGAGTGTGGTAATGACTGCCCATGATAACTATGGTAACTACCCACCTGCAACGACTGTTTAGGATAACCGCCCAGGCAACCACATTGACAGTAACACGTTACGCCAGCTCGATGATAACAACACTAACTACTCATGAGAACCATCTGCCTGCAACTAGCACCCAGGATAACCACGCCACCGGTGACAACCCGTGATAGCTACACAATAACCAGGCCACCCAGGATAACCACGCCACCGGTGACAACCCGTGATAGCTACACAATAACCAGGCCACCCAGGATAACCACGCCACTGGTGACAACCCGTGATACCTGCACATTAACCAGGCCACCCAGGATAACCACGCCACCGGTGACAACCCGTGATAGCTACACAATAACCAGGCCACCCAGGATAACCACGCCACCGGTGACAACCCGTGACAGCTACACAATAACCAGGCCACCCAGGATAACCACGCCACCGGTGACAACCCGTGACAGCTACACGATAACCAGGCTACCCAGGATAACCACGCCACCGGTGACAACCTGTGATAGCTACACAATAACTAGGCCACCCAGTATAACCACGCCACCGGTAACACCCATGATAACTACATGATAACCACCGATGACAAGGACACTTACTACTCACGTAACCATCCACCGCCTTGGATAACCACCCTTGATGACCATGCCAACAGTAACAACCTATGATAACTACAAGGTAGCCACTGATGCCATTTCTGCCTTTGTTTCTTCAAATGCGAACCCGTGTTGAACAGCAAAGCCACACAGGTCGCTCTGAACAGATGTCCACGTCATGCACTCAGAGTGTTTTCCTGAGTTATTGAATAACGGAAATCAAGCATTCCCAGGTAACCTGGTATAATGCACAAGTAATTTGCAGATCGTTTCTTTCATTTACACATACAGCACAAAATCTAAAAGTATTCTAAATCATATTTAGTAGATGGATGAAATGAGCAATACCAACCTGCGCACATGTGATCAACACGCACGTGTTCAACACCAAAGGAAAGGTCAGTTTCCTTTCCTCAGGAAGTTAAACTTCGATCCTTTTAATCCTGTCACTGACTTCCTCAGTGAAATGTTTACTCTCAATGGCTTTAGAAGAAGGCAGGTGACTTGAGCCCAGTTAAGTTTTTCTAGCTCTAAGTTAGTTACAACCTCATGAAGAAGTGATTCCGTTAAAGATTTAGGAGTGAGAAGTTTTATTAACAACTTTCCCACTGCTCAATAGTAAAAAGTCCAGCAGCTGTCCAGGCTTTGGGAGGTGTGGCCCGCCCCACCCCGATCCCCGAAACTGCTCTCAGAGGGGCCAGGAGTAGGACCAGGCCCCGGCCCCAGGGTCTCCTCCGGATGTCTAGTAAGGCACACTACTAGGTACTGGGAGGCAGAGGGCTGTTCATGCTTAGGCCACCCTCCCCACCACATCAGGACATCTTCGCCTTCCAGACCACACACTGACAAACAGCTACATGATAACCAGACTCCAGCTGTCTCCAACAGGTCTACCTTGGAGATACTGAGAATCACATTAATTTCGTGGTTTCCCAGTGAATATAATTCATGCTGACACTCTACTGTAGCTTATTAAATGTGCAATAGCATTATGTCTAAAAGAACAATGTACCTAGCTTAATTTAAAAATACTTTTATTATTAAAAATGGCTGGGTGCAGTAGCTCACACCTGTAATCCCAGCACTTTAGGAGGCCGAGGCAAGGGGATCACTTGAGGTGAGGAGTTCAAGACCAGCCTGGCCAACAAGGTACAGCTCCGTCTCTACTAAAAATACAAAAATTAGCTGGGTGTGGTGGTACCCAGCTACTCGGGAGGCTGAGGCACAAGAATCACTTGAACCTGGGAGGTGGAGGCTGCAGCGTACTGAGACGGCGCCACTGCACTCCAGTCTGGGCGACAGAGCAAGTCTCCATCTCAAAAATTAAAAAAAAAAAAAAAAAAAAAAAAAATTTATTATTTAAAAATGCTAATGACCATCTGAAACTTCAGCAAGTCATATACTTTTTGCTGGTGCAGGGCCTCACCTTGGTGTTGACAGCCGCTGACTGATCAGAGGGGTGGCTGCTGAAGGCAGGGGTGGCTGTGATCATTTCATAAAATGAGATGACAGTGAAGTCTGTCCCACCAATTGACTCTTCCTTTCACAAAAGACTTCTCTGTAGCATGCAATGCTGTTTGACAGCATTTTACCCAGAGAAGAAGCTTCAAAACTAGGGGCAATTCTCTCTCACCCTGCCACTGCTTTACCAACTAGTTTATGTAACATTCTAAATTCTCTGCAGTCATTTCAACCACGTTCCCAGCATCTTCTCCAGGAGAGGATTCCACTCAAGAAACTACTTGCTTTGCTCATCCATAGGAAGCAACTCCTCATCTGTTCACGTTTCATCCTGAGGTTGCAGCAATTCGTCATCTTCAGGCTCCACTCCTAGTTCCCTCGCCATTTCCACCCACCTGCAGCTCCTTCCGCTGCTGAGGTCTTCAACCTCCTAAAGTCATCCACGAAGGCTGGAATCAACATCTTCCAAACTCCTGGCGATGCTGATATTCTGACCTCCTCCTATGAATCATGAATTTCCTGATGGCACCTGCAATGGTGAATCCTTTCCAGAAGGATTTTCTATTTGATTTCCCCAGAATCATCAAAGAAATTGCTTTCTAAGGCAGCTACAGCCTGAGATATACTTCTTTATAGGGAATCCATGAGACCCACACGTTGGTGCGCCAGAATGCAGGGGGCCAGCCCTACATCACCTGTGGGTACTCCGAGTTCGGTGGCGACAAGGGAATGAGAGAAAGACAGATGAAAAGAAAAAGTGGGACCGGGGGCCATCACTTGATTACTCTGGAGGAAACAGTGGAGGCCCCGACCTCTGATCACCCACACTATTCATTGATTACAATCACTTTGATCTATAGGGTAGGGGTAGAGTGACGGTGGAGTGATCAGTGGCTGGAACTGGTGTATCATCCTAAGGATTGACAACTGGTGGTTTGGGAGTTTTACAAAACAAGAACTTGTGGTTATCTTTGGCCTATTATCTCCGTGCAGCTGATGGAACACAGGTCTTACAAGAAGCCTACAAGTCTGGCTATGTCACAGTGCTACGAAGGGGTTTTACGTCCTTGAGCACAGTGTTTATGGTAACAGAGCCGAGGTCACCCTGCACTGGAACATGAGGCATGGAGAGGCCCTCCTCAGAGGCCTCCTGCGGGCTTCTGCAGTTTGTTGTTCCTTGTTTATGTGTTACTCATAACCAGTTTACGTAGGCATCTGTCAGTCCTTTCCCCTTGGCAGTGTTTCCCAACGCTTCTTAAAGAGTAAGAGGCCAGGCACTGACTTCTCTCCAGCTGCAAAAGCCTGACGCAGCATATTCTTCTGTCTGCACTGAACACTGCTGCTTAGCGCGGCCTCCGTCATCGATGGTCTTGGCCAGATCTCCTGGAACTTGCTGCAGCTTCTCCATCTGCACCTGCTGCTCCACCTTCGCTTTCGTATTATGGAGACGGCGTCTTTCCCTAAATCTCATGAACCAACCTGTCTGGTTTCCAGCTTTTCTTCTGCAGCCTCCTCGCCTCTCAGCCTTCACAGAACGGAAGAGAGTCAGGGCCTTGCTCTGGGTGAGGCTTTGGCTAAAGGGAATGTTGTGGCTGGTGTGGTCTTCTACTCAAACCATGCAACTCCCTCCTCAGCAACAAGGCTATGTCATGTCTAATCATGTGTGCGTTCACTGAAGAAGGATTTTCAGTTTGCTTCAAGAATGCTTCCTTTGCATTCATACCTTGGCTGTTTAGTGCAAGAGGCCCAGCCTGCAGCCTACCCTGGCTTTCGGCGCACCTTCCTCACCAAGCGTAATCACTTCTAGCTTCTGATTGAAAGTGAGAGACGAGTGGGCCTTCCTTCCACTTGAAGACTTGGAGGTCACTGCAGGGTTATTACTTTGGCCTAATTTCATACTGCTTTGCCTCAGGGAATAGGGAGGCCTGAGCACGGGAACAGACAGACAAGGAAGAGGCGGCTGGTGGAGCAGGCAGAAAACACACAGCTATCCATCAGGTTTGCCATCTTATGTGGGTGTGCTTCGTGGCACCCCAAAACAATTACAACAGTGACCTCGAAGATCACTGATCACAAATCCCTGTAACAGGGAGAACACTATTGAAAAACCTATTACAACAGTGATCTTCAAGACTGCTGATCATCAATCCCTGTAACAGGGAGAACATTAATGAAAAAATTATTGTAACAGTGACCTTGAAGACCACTGATCACAAATCCCCGTAACAGGGGGAACACTAATGAAAAAACTATTAAAACAGTGACTTCAAAGATCACTGACCACCGACCCCTGTAACGGACAGAACACGAATGAGGAGCCTGAAGTACCACGGGCATTTCTAAAACGTGACACAGCACTTGGTGGGCACATGCCGTTGGAAAATGGCACCCGTAGATGTGCTCAACAACGGGTTCCCCCAAATCTCCTCTCTGGGAAAACACAATATCCGTGAAGCATAAAATGAGGTGTGCCTATAAAACTCACTAAACGTCCAACTTCAAAGGCACAACAAAAGCAAGGAACAGCCAGAGCAATTTACGAAGGTACATACATGCAAAATGTATTTTCATAAAGTCCTTACATCCTTCAAAATACCTAGTTTGTCACAAAATAGGCATTAAAAAAACCCAAAAACCCTTAGTGAGTAGAGTAGTTGGTATGGATGAACCAATCTGAAAATACCCAGTCAGTTTCTACTGCATAAAAGAAAATATTCCTTTTAAGATTCCATGATATATAGAAATAACGAACACAGCCAAAATTATCAACTGTTTTGTGGGTAAAGGCCTGAATTCAGGCCGTGAGGGAAACTCCTGTGCAGGTACTCAATTACCTGCATTCTGCGAACAGTGTAAGACACGGGGGTTTATGTCACCTAAGGGTTCCACGCAGATCACCCTGACCACCTGACTGACTAGGCCAACCTCAACCAAACTTCTTCCAGATGAAGCTCGTCACAAGCCTGACTTATCGCAGCTGCATCAATCTGTCCGGGCTGCTGGTCCTAGGCCCTGGCATTCGGCCGTGGAGGATGCCCAGCTCTGTGGTGACCCTCCGGCCCACCGGGTGGCTGCCTTCGGGACCTGCAAGATGCCCAGGAACCCTCAGGAACTGGCAAGGTCAGAACTGATGGGCCTCGGAAGTCTCCAACCAAGCGCCAGAGTCCACATACTACCTGACTAATAGCAAACACCAAAAGATAACTCAGTGTTGGTGAGGGCCTCTCTGCTGGCGACCGTCCAGGTTGACAAAGCCTCGGCACAGGCATTACAAAGGCTTTGGTCTAGAATTCAGCTTCTCTGGCTTCATCCTGAGGACAAAGCTCGGGAAGGGTTTCATATGCACTAAATAGGGTTCCCCCGTAATTATCCCGGAAAATGCATGCCGGCCACCTCCCAGACTTTTCCTCCAGCCCAGTTTCCCAAAGAACAAACCTAGGCATCCACCTGCCCTCAACATCCCACTCCCCCCTCAGATGCTCCTCGCACTGTCCACCACCCCATCCTCATACAAAGGGCAGGAAGTGGGACGCCACCTCCACCACACAGGAGACACAGTAGGCATCAGGATTTCTGCCCAGGGCCTCGGACGCTCCTCAACTGCCCGACAGACACAAGGCTCACGCCCAGAACTAGCAGGTCTGCTTTCCAGATCCAGGCTGACCTATGGCAACGAATCGAGCTAACGCGATCACACGGTTCTGGGTCAAAGGTCTGGGGCCGGGACACTGTCCCGTGGGGTGCTGCCCACACTCACTTTATTCGACATCTGCTGGCAGTGCTGCTCGGTCGTGTGGATCAACGTCTGGTCCAAATCCACCATGAGCACGAGTTTCCGGTTTCGGTGCAGCCGCTGCTGGTCTTCTCTTCCCAGCTGTTCAGCTTGCTACCATTAAAAAGAAACAAGAAATGACAAAGTCAGCATGTCGTCTGCATCCAACGTAAAACTCCATTTCATCAGAAACAGAATATGATACCGACATGTTCCTCTCTGGACCCTGGCACTCCCCAGGGCCTGCGCTGCACAGGCCGAGAGCCAGGGCTGGGTCACCAACCTGGTCATGGCAGCCTCACTTGTGACCATCATTTTATAATTCAGGTAAACACATGAGCCATGAAAATGGAGGGGAAGAGAAACTGGCTGTTTCTATACAAGTTGAATTGAGCCCGGGTGCCATGGCTCACGAGGTCAGGAGTTCAACACCAGCCTGGCCAATATGGTGAAATCCCATCTCTACTAAAAATAAAAAAAACAAAAACACAAAAAACAAACAAACAAAAAATCCAAAAACATCAGCCAGGCATGGTGGCGCATGCCTTTAGTCCCAGCTACTCGGGAGGCTGAGGCAGAAGAATCAGTTGAACCGGGAGGTGGAGGTTGCAGTGACCCAAGATCACGGCACCGTACTCTAGCCTGGACAATAGAGGGAGAGTCCGTCTCAAAAAAAAAAAAAAAAAAAAAGTTGGATTCAACACTATGGGCCACTCAATAAAAATGAGCTGCAAAATTAAGAAACCAAGTCAGCTGGCTGGGAGGACGGAGGTGCTGGGCAGCCCAGGCTGGGAGGACGGAGGTGCTGGGCAGCCTAGGCTGGGCAGCAGAGACTGGTGAGGGCGCTGTGCTCAGAACCCCCCACAATCAGCCTATTCCTGTGTCTCGAAGAGACCCGGGACCTGGTGATGGCGTACCGGGGTGTCCCTCCATGCCAGGCCTGGAGCAGAGCTCCTAACAAGGGCCCGGCCGCCCGGCATCAGGAGCCCAGCACAGGGTGCAGCGCACAGGATGCGATGCACCAGACTCATCACTTGCCCTTGTCACTGCAACTGGCCCTCACTCTTCACAAACCAAATCCCGATCCCGCTCAAGGAGAGCCTCCTCCATGGCCATCTCTGAAAGGAAACGCACCAAGGTGCCGGCAGGTACCCAGTTACGGAGGAGATGGGGGTACTTTCTCCTCCCTTCACCACCAAACTTGCCAGCTTTGGTTTATGCACACACATTTACGTTCGTCTAAAGTTTGGTAATTCAGAAAACCCAGAATCACGTAGCTGGCATTTTGTTTTTCCCACAAAAAGATTAAAATTGGGGTCCACCATTTAAAAGCATGAATTTACTAAAATCATAACACTGGAAAGTGTTTTACCTATTTACAAAACTGTGCAGCCCTGAAAGTCTGTAAGATCACAAACTAGTTTTTCTCGGCTCCCAGAGCATTTTCACCCACAGGGTGAAGCGAGGTCGGGGACATGGCGTCTGCCTCAAGCACAGGTCCAACCCTGAGCACAGGAGATGCCCAGAGCCGCTGACCAATAGTGCCCCCAGCAACTCCTGAAATACATAAATGAGGCGTAGACTCAAAGATAAAAACCCATCTCACTGTCAACTGGGCACACAAACACCTGCCCATTCTCTCCTCCCCACAACCCCCATGGGCTCTCCTGTCAGCTACAAGGCAAACACCCCTGGGACCCCCCAACCTGCCCCTGCGTGCGCCCACTCTCCCAAGCCAGCTTCCCACCGGCACCAGCAGCAGCAGCAGCTCCTGGAAGGCAACAAAGTACCACCCTCCCCACCGCCAACCCCTTGCCAGCATCTGCCCTGATATACACTTTGCCCTCCCGCCTCGTCCGGCACACGCCTTGACGGTGTGGCCACCTCCTGAGCTCCACCAGCAGCTGTCTCATCCCTTAGGACTTGGCTCAAGGGACCCCAGGCCGAGCCTGGCTGTTCAGAGCTGCAGCAGCACCCAGAGGTCCGACATGCAGGTCACGCAGTGTGGGGTCCCGAGTTGCTTTTGCGGGCAGACTTGTCTTTGGAGGACCAAGGGCGGCCGTCTGTTTCAGGAAGGCAGCACCCCCGTAAGTCATCTCTGTGACGAGGGGTTGTTCCAGTAACGACAACAACCACAGGTCTGTGCTCTCTGCAGCCGCCCTCCTTGGAACGCCAGCCGCGGACGCCCAGCTCACCTCGGAGCTCACCATCAACTCCGGCACGCTGTGCACCATGGACACGGTGGCCGTGGACAGCGGCACCTGCTGCTTCCCGTTCTTACTCTGCAACCTGCGAGTGAAGGACAGGTTCAGGGCTTTCAGCTGAGTCACCGCGCACAGAGGCACACTGAGCTCTAAGTGACGGGATTCCAACTGATGTCTCAACGGCACACGTTGCTATCTTAGAGCAGAACTGGATTCTGCTGGCAACTGTGGAAACATTTTCCACTGTTTAAAGACAGACAGGAAACCTGGTGAAAACACTGAGCTCGTGGCCACTCACGCACACACAGAGCCAGTTCTTCATGAAAACAAACTGCAAAGTCACACAGAATCAGGAAGAGGCTCTCAAACGTGCAAATGCAGAAAAGGAAGCTGCTGCGCCACCCCCTGTACAAGGGATAAATCTGAGAAGCCACCTGGCATTAGAGGTGGGGGCGCTCAGGGAGGACCAGCACAGGCTGCTCTGAGGGAGGGGCTGCTCCAGACACTCAGCGATCTGCATCCTCACAGTCAGGAGAAAACAGGCCTCAGCCCTCCAGCCCCTGCCCCCCCACCCCTGAGAACAGCATGAGGCTGGAGTGACAGAACAGAATGGGAAGTTACGCAACAGAACAGGGAGAACCGCCTCCTAAAGAAACCCACTGAGCGTGACTCGTGACTCGGGTGGGGCCCGAGGGAGGTGTCTGCACCTGCCGCTGGGAAACCAGCAGCCCTCACTGTGTCCCCAGCACTGCTTCTCGGACCCCTCAGAGGCCACCACCTTGAGCGCCGGCAGGCAGCGATCTCACTCTTCTGGATACTTACTGGGTGAGGTCTTGGCCACATTCAGCACACAAGCCTTTCATGACAACTGGGTGGCTACATCCTTCTAACGTCACCAGAACCGCTCTACAAAACACAAAGGGAAGAACAGTTTTAAATCTCTTGGTTTATCGGAAGAGCCCAAGTGAGAATGTTAAAATCTAAGTTTTGTACCAATTCTACACTAACTTTCGAATAATTTTTCAGGCAGGTTACATCACTCTTGAGGGCATTTCTTTGTCTATAAAATGAAAGAACTTTCCATCTACAGGTCTCGCTCATGAGAAACCAACCCCATCACACCACACCACCCCTGTGCTGCCCACGGAATGACTGGAAACCTGAGGCTATCTGGTCCAGTGAGGACGCTCAGGGATAACACAAAGCTGTCTCTATTTATACGTGATCCTAGACATTTCTGATACAGACTCCATAAAATCTAAAACTTGGTTAATTCAATACAATAAGGCACAATTTGGTAGAATATCAAAAAATAATAAATTACCTCCCACATATCATTCCTATCAAGAAAGAAGCTGATGCAGCTACATTTTGCTGACAGAACTCCTGTAATATTCCTAGTTTTATATAAATACACACTGTTTTGTCTAAACAGTGGTCATCAGAAGCCTTGGAAGAAGTGCTGAAATCTGAAGGCTACGAGACCACAGGCTGCCCAGTACTCACAGCCCACCCCAGGTGCTCACAGTCCCCCGCTGACCACCGTGCCCTGCAATACAAGGTCGCCCAGTATTCAGAGCCCACCCCAGGTACTCACAGTCCCCTGCTGACCCCCCAACCCGTGGAAACGAGGCAGCCCACCACTCACCACCCGCCCCTAGGTGCTCGCAGACCCCATGCCCGGCTCTGGGCCGGGATGCTCTGACAACCCCACCCTGCAGACAAGAGGCTGCCCAGCCCCCACCCCCGTAGCAAGCTACATCCGTCAACAGGACCTTTCCAGGCCCATGGCCCACTGGGACACCAGGCCGCAGGCGGGAACAAGAGCCCCATCTTCCATGACCACTGTGCCTCAGCGGGCAGTGCAGGGAGACTCAGAGGGGCAGGGGTGGCGTCTGTAGCCTGCATCCTGGAGGGGAGCGGAAGGGAGCTCTTCCCGGGGAGGGAACAGGATGGGCGTGTGCAGATCATCATGGAGGAGGAACGGTGCTGAGAAGGCACAGTGCACCCTCGGGATGGAGAGGGCTGCCAGCGACCATCTAGAATCTGAGCTGCTCCTCCAGAATCTGTTCTGGGTTCTGGGTCTGGAACCCTAATCCTGACCCTGTGCAGTGATCGGGACAAGGTGGCCCTGCCCCCATGCGTCCTGTGCGCTCAGCAACCACAGGAGCCATGGGACTCCCTGGCCCCCACAAGCTCACAGAGAGCCTCCCACTAGCACCCCAGCAGGAAACTCAGAAAGGGTCATTTAAAAAATTACAAAGAGAACTTTATTGAGAACTCTATTCTGTAAATCCTCAATTCTCAGATACATTTTTTTAAAAACAACCACTTCTTACCGGTTGTTAAGAATCTAAATGTAGGGCCACTGGGAGGACTGGGTTTGGGTGCTGGCGGTGGGGCCGCAGAGCCCAGGGAAACTGCCAGGGAAATTTTAAATTATATTTTAAAAAAGAATCTAAATTTTTACATTCAGGTTGAGCTTTCCCAATCCAAATATCCTAAATCCGAAACCTTCTGGGCAGGGAGACAACGGCACGGGGGAGACTCCACTCCTGACTCCGTGCGGTGGGCAGCAAAGCTGCGTTTCATGCCTGAAACCTCACAAGTGCCGTGTAAAATCACCTTCAAGCTGTGTGTACAGTGACGTTCAACATAAATGAATTCTGTGTTTAGACCTGGGTTCCATCCCCAAGGTATCTCGTCACGTATATATACAGATATTCCAAAATGATCCTCCCTCCCGGCCACCACACCTGGTCAGAGACACCGCCAGGCTTCACAGGACTCAGGGACACCTGCTCCCCGCTTGCTGAGGCCGCGGGGGCCATCCCCACCCAGGAGTCTGCGTCCCCACCACCATCACAGCGGCACTCGGGGCCTTCACATCCAGGCTCCCTCCGATACCTGGCACTCATGCACTCCCGGCTGAGCTGTTTCCACCCACCCACAGGGCTCTGCGGCCCCACCGCCAGCACCCAAACCCAGTCCTCCAAATGGCCCCACATCCTTTCCCCAGGCATTTCTGCCCCAGTCCCAGCAGCAACACCACTTGGAAGCCGCAGCCCCTCAAACAGGCTTCCCCAGTCTCCAGCAGACATCACTTTGCAATCAGCCTTCTGCAAGGAGACCCTGCAGAGCTCCTACCGGACGCAGCACACCAGCACGCTGCAGGCTCCTCGTTCCACCCGTGAAACGGGAAGAGGCCCACCCGTGACAGCACCCGAGGCTGCAGGTACAGCTCAGTTCTGAAGGTTCCTGGGTCTCTGTAACCTGACAGAGGACTTCCGGCTCAACAAGGCTGTGCCCCTCGAAATGCTGCCGCAGGTGTTAAGAGACACAGGGTAAACCAGCTCACTGGGCAAGGTTTTGTGGTCAAGCATCACGTGAGGAGGACACACAGGGCGGGAAGGGCCTCTCCTCTGTATGCACAGCAAATAGGCAGTTTGTATTTATTCGCTTTGCTCATTTTTAAACTGAAACTTGTGGCTTGGGAAATATTTTTTCAGGAATCCTCAAAAATGAACTAGGAGGATTCTGCCAATCTCCCTTAAACACGTTAGCATGAAGAAAGATCTGCGGTGTCTCTAGCTTAACCAATAAACAAGTGTTTTTCAATTAGAAATTGATAAGCTGGTTCTGAAATTTATATAAAAATTCAGGAAACCTAGAATCTCAATTTTGAAAACTAACAGAGAACTTTTACCACCTGACTTCAGAACTTATCAGACATACTTCATAAACTCATGGAACAGAGGAATCCAGAAAGACTCAAAGTCATGACTGACCAATGACCCCCCGAGGTCACTCCACAGGGGCTCCACATGAACAGACGAGCAGCTGCCAAACGCCTGCAGAGTGTGTGTTCTGCAAAGGGTTTCTCCAGTGTGGCGTCTACCTTTCACTTCTGAAGTGTTTTTAAAGAGCAGCAGTTTTTAACGTTGTTCAAGTGCAATTCATCGCTATATTTTGTATTGTTATTAAGAAATCTTTGTCTTATCCAAAGTCACTAAGATTCTTTTCTAGGAGCCGTATGAATTTACCTTACGCTCAGGTGTGTGATCTATTTCTGAGTTATTTTTAACGTGGGTACGATGCAGGCTGAGGCACGCTTACTTGCATGCGGACCCTTAAGGCATGCTGGAGCTGCTGTGACATGCCTCGTGCAGCGGCGCACAATGCTGGACACTCACGCTCTCTTGCTTCTGGAGGCTGGAGTCTGAATCGGGTCTTGCTGGGCTGAAATTGAGCTGCAGTAGAGCTGCCCCTCCTGCAGCCTCCAGAGAGAACCCGTGTCCCTGTCTCTTCCAACCTCTCCTGGCCACTGTGGTCCTCAGCTCAAGCCCCTCCTGCCACCTCAAAGCTGATGCAGACAGTGGGTGGGGTATTTGCGAGTGCTGTCTCTGGTTCCCTTCTCCACCGTCACATCTCCCTCAGCACAGTGGGGAGGGGTGATCCTGCCCACCCCACAGAGGCACGACCGTGCCTGTACATTCAGCACCACTGTTCCAAGGCCAGCCCTCCTCGTTCAGCTCCCGGGTACCGTTGTGGGTAACCGACGAGATGTTTGAGAGTCTGGACTCTTCTGTTTCTCATGCTGATGGCGCACGTATGTCTTCACACCAACACCGCACTACCGTGGCTACTGTAGTTTTGTAACAGGTCTTGACATCAGGTAAAGGTTCTCTTTGTTCACTTTCAAAATGTCTATTCTAGGTTCCCATACAAATTGCAGAACCAGCTAGTCAATTTGTACAGAAACCGCTGGGTTTAGCTTTGGGTGGTATTCAGTCAGCCTTTGCCCTCCACCAAGGCAACCAGGCCCTGACCCGACTCAGCTGCCTGCACAGAGGAAACACAGCCATACCCTCCTGTCCACCTTCAGCCCGGTCTACATGGTCAGGCACATACACGATTCTTCCAATCCTCCACCTCCCCTGCCTACCAGCCTCTGTCTCTGAAGAGCTGCTCCTGTCCTGCCTGGGAGCTGTCCCCTGTCCCCCACCCCGAGTCCTGCCTAGGAGCTGTCCCCTGTCCCCCACCCCAAGTCCTGCCTAGGAGCTGTCCCCTGTCCCCCACCCCGAGTCCTGCCTGGGAGCTGTCCCCTGTCCCCCACCCCGAGTCCTGCCTAGGAGCTGTCCCCTGTCCCCCACCGCGAGTCCTGCCTAGGAGCTGTCCCCTGTCCCCCACCCCGAGTCCTGCCTGGGAGCTGCCCACTGTCCCCCACCCCGAGTCCTGCCTGGGAGCTGCCCACTGCCCCCCACCCCGAGTCCTGCCTGGGAGCTGCCCACTGTCCCCCACCCCGAGTCCTGTGTGACACTCACAGAGTGACATTAGGCTGTCACAAAGGATGGGGCCTCGTGCTCCAAGGAAGGGCTGGTAGCAAGGCCAGGTGCCACCTGGGCAGGCTCCCTTCCACAGCACAGGTCTAAGAGCGAGTGTGAGCTGGCCCTGCTCCCCACAAACAGCCTCCCTTGGGCCTTCAGCTCAGCCTGAGGTCTGAAGAAAGTCGACCATAAGCTGACTCAGGCATGCACTGCCTGCTGTCACCAACAATCTAACATGCATCAGACAAGAGTGACTGCTGGACTGAGGTGCCCACAGGAACGGTGACTATAGTAGATGCCTCGTTCCACATGAGGAGGAAGGAAGCTTCTAGAACAGTATCACAGAAGATGTAACAGTTGGGTCCTGACAGATGATGAGGAAGTAGGTGAGGGCTGGAAATTAAGATCATGCAAGGTCCTGGTGGCAGATCCAAGGCCCTGACGCCCAGTGAGGGTAGCACCCCCCAGACCCTCAGCAACGAGGACCAAGCGCTGGCCTTCTCTAGAAAATCGTTCGCATATGGATCACATGAGAGAGTCAGTAACCTTCTGTACTGGGGTCGAAAGGTTCTGCCTGTC